CAACTTCTGTCAGTCTGTTTCGGTCGCCACCTCGCGATGCCCCCCATTTTTTGGGGGTGGCGACGCCTCTCGCGCCTCGGGGGTGTCAGGGGCAGTTTGCTGACAGAGCTTCCCGTTCCCCCACCCCCCCATGAGCGGCATCACGGTCTCTTTGGCATTTGCTTGCTCGCGCTTACTCTCTCTTGCTCCTGCTGTTTTTCCAGTTCCCACTGCCATTGTTATCCTGCGCTGCGCCGGCTACCTCGGCTCGTCGTGCTCGTCTATTTGGTTCGGCCCCCTCTGTCTTGGTGGGCTGCTCAATTCTCAGAGGCGACGATGGGGGCGAATAGCCCAGGGGAGATCAATACATGTATCCAGGGGCGCCGATGATCTATGCCTTCGACAAGGCTCCCGGGCGAGTACGTGTAATGCCCGCCCCGGGGCTATTCGCCATTGTCGTCGCCGCCGAAATTCTGAATCCTCATCTCCAATTCGGCTCGCGTGGCTTTCTGTGCGGCTGCCACCTCCAGCAATGCTCGGAGAGTGCGGTCTACGCACGTACGACATGTTTTTGCTCTTCGGGCGCTGGTCTCTCGTTCTCCCCCTGGCCTCTCGTTCCTCCCTCCTCCGGTGCCGCCATGTGCCTTCTTACATTTTACTACTTGCCCCTTCTCCTACTATTTGTCCTCCTCCTCCTTCTCGGATTCGACAGTCGGATGAGAATGCCAGGCGGCTCACTGGTGACGTCTAGTCGGCCAGGTTGGTGGTGATCGCACTTGGCGTTGGACCTTGTCGCATGACCTCTGAGCCCGGAAATTGCATCCCTGAACAGGTGGCCCGACGGAAAGGCTGGAATGTGTACCACGTACTTCGACCAGGAGTTGAGCATTGATTCCTGTGTGCAGCGCGCGTGGTATACAATCATGCAAAGGCAGCGCCAATGGCGCGCGATGATGGTCCATGGCCGTAATGGGCGGAGCAGAATTAAAATCTCGGACGCTGACGCTGGGCGTGACTGTTACTTGAACTGTTGGCAGTGCGGAGCGATCGGACATTTCGCGAGGGAGTGCCTTCGCCAGCACTGGGACTGGGGAGCGCCACAGTTGAATAATAAGTGGGCTCAGGCCCCTTGTGGCTTGCCAGGGAAAAGCGTCATTGGGCGGTGGGGGGGTCGTCGGCAGCCTGCGAGGCTCTACAGCACATGTGAAGACGCCCGCCGCAGGCGCCGATTTCCTGCGCATTACACAACGAGCGCGCCGCAGGCGCCGTTTTTTGGTCGTCAAAGCTATATGGATGGGTCGCGGGGCGGGTCGCGAGTGGGTCGCGGGGCGGAAGCAGGGTTGGTGGCGGGCCGCCGGGGTGGATGGGTGGCGGGTGTGTCGCAGGTTGGTCGCGGGGCCGGTCGGGTTGGGCCTCGGAGATGGTTGAGGTGGATCGCGGGGCGGGGCCGGGAGAACCGCATTTCAGCCACGCACCGCGGAACCGCACCGCGGAACCGCACGCCAGCCACGCACTCAGAAACACTGTGAGACCGCTCGGCCCGCTCATGTTGATCAAGGAGTGGGGATGGAGGAGGATGAGGATGCTGCAGGGCCTGGTTCGATTCGCCCGACTTGAGTCGATTCCATATCGGCTTTGCCCAGCTCGGTCCAGTGCGAATTAAATCTTCCGACGACCGATGATCCGACGCGGCCTGATGTTTTCTCAAAGTTTGTACATTGGAGCGACCGGCTCGATCCAATTCCGGTGTTGCGCGTCATGCCGCCGCAGTCCGCTTTGGTGCTCGTTCCGAACCGATTCGGCTTCGGTGGGATTTTGGCGTCCGACTTCCTGCAGAGGTCACGGCGTCGTGAAGAGATCTCGACCGGAGCCCTCGAATCCCCCCTTGATGATGCAGGAGCGTCTGCGCCGGGTCGAGCTGTGAGGGCCGAAGGGGCCGGGACCGGAGAGCAGGGAGCGCCGCCGACGTGGTCTGCTCGCAGTTCCCTGGGCGCACGCCCGCGGAAGAGCCCCTCGGAGCTCCCGAGACGCCCCCCCCCCCAGCGAGACCGCGTCCCTGCGACTTGGCATCCCTTGGACGTGTGGATTTGTTCTCGGCGAGAGACCACGAGGACCATCCTGGACCATCGAGGAACAAAAAACACGCGCGAAACCGACAAATGCACGGGGAATGGACGTCCGAGCGACGGCAAGGCGAGGGCCCCCCAGGGGGGCCTCCTCGACGCGGGGTGCGTGCTGGCCGGGTCGGTCCGCGAGGGTCCCGGTGGCCCGAGCATCTGAGGCGGCGCCCGGACGCCTGCAGGCGTCCGCCGCGAGAACATAGCCAGATCCACAGCTTCCGTGTCGTGCCCCGGGTTCTAGAATACAGTCGGGGCGCTGAAGAAGGAACCCTTTTCGTTGGGGAGGGGCTCGGTGTTCGATTGCTTCACAGTTTGCCTCGGGTTTCCCTGATGTTTCCCACGGGGAATCGGAGTTTAAATTACGATAAAAGGGACCTCGTTCCTTATCTAGTGTTCCTTAGGTCAACGCCCCGACTGTAGCGGTGGATATCGATATCTGCCCGCCCGCATGGGCGGCCAGATATCCGCAGCCATCGCTCCTCGATTCCTTGGGGCACGACCCCGTGGCAGTGGGTATGGACATATCCCGGCGGCGCACGGGCAGGAGGGGGAGACCTCGGCCGAGCTCTCGCTCGGGAGAGGCCCGCACGACGTCGGCGGCGGCGGCGGCCATGGCGACGCCCTCCGCGGGCCCCGGGAAATCCCCGGACGTCCGTGCCCCCTCGAGCCCGCCAGTAGCGCGTAACGTCAGAGCCCCGAATCATCATGGGTAACTTGGGTCAGGGCTAACTCGGGCTCGTTTTTCGGGAATCCGAGCCCGAGTTGCCCCAGGCCCGAGTTACCCCGGATAATTCGGGCGCCCAGAGCCCCGAATCATCAGGGGTAACTCGGGTCAGGGCTAACTCGGGTTCGTTTTTCGGGAATCCGAACCCGTGTTACCCCGGGCCCGAGTTACCCCGGATATGTGTCTGCGGGAAGGGCGGGGCCAAGAATGCAGGAAAGCTCTTTTTAGGACTTGGCCCGAATTCGGGCCAGCGCTTCGCCAGGAACCAGCCCCCTCTGTTACATTGTGCAGAGCACCTTGGTTGAATTCTAGACGCTTCGCGTATCCCCACCAGCCCGTCCAGAAACGACGCCCAGGCGAGTAGAGGGTCGTCCTGAGGGGCTTTTCGGCGTCTTGGGTGCCTCGGGGGGGCCTCTGTGGGCAGTTCGGGATCCTCTTTGGGGCCTCCTGGGGGCCTCTTGGGGCCTCTTGGGGCCATCATGGGGCCTTTGGGGGCCTCCTGGGCGCTTCTTGGGGCCATCTTTGCCCCTTGGGTGCCTCTTGGGGGGTCTCTTGGGGGCCTCCTGGGGGCCTGGGGGCCTCTTGGGGCCATCTTGGGGCCATCCTGCGGCCTCTTGGGGCATCCTGGGGGCCTCTTGCGGCCATCGTGGAGGAAATCGATCAAAGAAGAGGGGAGCTTTAATTAGCCCTGCCCCCTCAGAAGGCCAAAATGGGGCCAAAACCATAGTAAAATCAATGATTTTGGCTTCCTCGCCGAGGCCGTTTTGGACGCTCTGACCGCTCCCCGCCCCTCCTGTCCAGGTCAGTGGGGAGGGGGTAGGGGGAGGGGTAAACCCCTCCCCGAAGGGGAAGAGGGAGGGGTGGAAGAGGAAACGCCCTAAACCACCGACGCCCAGAGGGATTGGAAGGAGGAGGAGGAAGAGGAAGGAAAAGGATGGTGGATAAAGAACGTAAGAAGAAAATGATAACAAATATAGTAAGGATTAGGAAGAAGAGGAGGAAGAAGCGGGAGGGGAGGACGCAGGAGGAGGAGGAATGGGTGGACGCGGGGGGAGGAGGATCCTGGAGAGCTCATATGGCCATTTGGAATCGTCTTGGGACGGTGTTGGAGCGTCTTGGAACATCTTCGGTGCCATCTTGAGGCAGGTTGCGCTATCTGGAGGCAGCCGCTTGGAATCGTCTTGGAGCAGTCTTGGAGCGTCTTGGAACATCTTCGGAACCATCTTGAGGCAAGTTGCGCAATTTTCAGCCATATTGGAGGCTATCTTGGGCTCCCCGAAGCTCTTTCGGAACCGTCTTGGCCCATCTTTCACTATCTTGTGAGCCTCCTGGAGGCCTCTTGGGCGTCTCTTGGGGCGTTCTTGAAGCGCTGTTGGAGGCCTCAGAGGCGCTGGTAGAGCCCATGTTGGAGGGGATCTGTCAAAGAAAGCGGAAGCACTAATTAGCGTCGCTCCTGGAAAGCCTCTAAAATCGCTTCCTGAACCGCTCTTGGAGGGCGCTTGGAGCGCTCTTGGGCGCTCTTTGCGCCGTCTTCGGGCTTTCTTGGGCCCTTCTTGGAGCTATCTTGAGCCATCTTGGAGCTATCTTGACGCCTCGGGTGGGCATCGGAAGCGAAAGCGCGAGAACGCCAAAAACATTGATTTTCCTTAGGGTTTTGAAACATTTTGGCTTCTTGGGGGCATCCGAGGGGAGCTCTAGTGGACACTTAGAGCCGTCTTGGGGCGGTCTTGGAGCGTCTTGGAGCATCTTCGGAACCATCTTGAGGCATCTTGCGCTATCTTGAACCATCTTGGAGGCGATCTTGGGCTCCCTGAGGCCCTCTTGGAGTCATCTTGGCTCATCTTGGACGCTCCAACGCGTCGCGGCCCCCCCTGTCCAGGTCAGTGGGGAGGGGGTGGGGGGAGGGGTAAACCCCTCCCCGAAGGGGAAGAAGGAGGGGTGGAAGAAGAAACGCTCTAAACCACCGACGCCCAGAGGGCTGGTGGGATTAGGGTCTCCACCGGCGAAGGCCAATAACAATGATATATGACCTTGCACGGAGCCGCCTCCCCTCCTAGCCCTCCGTAGGCCCCTGGAGGAGTTTTCGAGGCGTCCTCGACCCATGAGCCTCGACGACGGTGGCGGTGCCCACGACGACGAGGTCGACCGCGACGGTGAAGTCGTCGTCGACGTCGGAGGTGGCCGCTGCGGCGGGTGCCGCGGCGGCGGGTGCTGCGGAGGTGGCGGCGGTCGCCTGCGCGTGATCTGGCCGTGACCTGCAATCGGGCCCGGCGGATAATTCAAGTCGCTGCCCCTCGGCAGCGGTCTGCAGACCCCGACCTCCTCGCGTCGTAGAATGAGAAGTGGCGGGATGTGGTTTACCGGTTGCGGCCTCAGGGGGCCCTCTCACTGGGTCCTCGGGATTGTACACGCACGGTTCGGCATTCGAAGCGGGCCCCGAGGTGGGGGAGGAGGCCCCTGGGGGTCAAGCGGAGCAAGTCACGACGTCGGAGGTCTGCGCAAGGCCGCACGACGGCGCGGACGGCCGGTCCAGGCGCATGGAGCCAGCAGAAGGCACCTACGCACATGCACCACCACGCCTGGCCAGGGGCCCCATCCTGGGCCCTCGGGTGGCGTTTGACCCTCCTGGCCTCGGCCAGGACGGCGCGCAGGTCTCCCAGGATGGCCCTCTGGTTACTATGGTGGTGGGGCCATATAGGCGCCTTCTGCCCAGCAGTGGGCGTGCCCTCGGGCGCGCCGAGGCCTCGTGTGGGCAATCCACGTCGGAGCTTCGCCATGGCTCGTGCCACGAGCCAGCCGTGCGCCGAGAGGGTCTGTCCGAGTCAGCCATGGATGGTGCGGGGATCCTCGGGGAGAGGGATGCCTGGAGGCGCCTGCGTGGTTTTCGGCCTCCCAGGCCTTCCTTCCTCCCCCGACCCCAGGACCCCAGAAAGACGACCCGGGATGAGAGGCCAGTCTGGGGAGGGCCCTGGATGCCGGTGCGCGTGCACATCGGGATTCTCCTTCGTGCCACACGTGTTTCCCCCGTGCCAGCCCAGGGAGTGGCTCCCGGGAGCCCCGTTTCCACGAGGCCTCTCCGAAGCCTTCTCTCGTTGGAGGCTCGGTCCCCGCCTCGCTGGCGGCCTCGAGCGGCCCCCAACGAGGCCCAGAAGAGGCACCCGAGGATCCAAAGTGGTCTGGAAGCGGGGGGCACTTCTGCCAACTCCCGAGTCCCCAGCTTGGGCACGCGCGGTCCGGCCAGAAGTTCCGACCCCCCGGAGGGCCTGGTGCCCCCAGGGCGGAGCAGCGGACCCCCGGGGCCCCGGGGCGGGGCATGGCTGCCGCCCTCGGGCGCCTCAGGGGGGCAGGGGCACGCGGAGCACATCGCGGCGTGGGAGGCTTGGGCGCACCCACAGCCCCATCGGACCGACGCCCCTCTCCGGCGGGCCTCGCCAGCACCTCGCTCGGCGGGTGCCCCCCCCTGCGCGGGGCGAGGCTCTGCGGGGGCAGCCTTCGGGCGCGGCCCTGCGGGCGGCCCCTGGCAGTCTTTTTGGCAGTTTCGGAGGTCGGCGGGGACAGAGGCCCGCGTCGAGAGGGGGGACCGGCGGCCAGCGGCCGGTCCGCTCACGATGCGTGCCTCTGGCCAGCCAGGGCTTGGGGGAGCCGTGCGGGTCGTCCCCATCCCCCTGGCCCTCCCTCCGCTGGCCCGGGCTCGGGAGCCGGCGTGCGCCCTGCCACAGGTTCGCGACGAGGCCTCCTGGCATCGCTCGGACGTGGACATGTTTTTTCTCGGCGAGAGCCCTCGAGGAGCATCCTGGACCATCGAGCAAAAAAAAAGAAAAGCACGCACGAGACCGAAAAATGCACGGGGAATGGACGTCCGAGCGGCGGCAAGGACGTGGCCTCGGCTGGCCCGGGCGGCGCCCTGCCCGAGGGCCCGACGGCCGGGGGCCCCCCTCGGCACTTGGGCCAGGGCCCCCCCCCCGCAGCACCTGGAGCCCACAGGCACAGGCGGCCACAAGGTCGCGAATCAGGAGGGACAAAAAACACACAGACATGTAATTAATCGTCGAACCCCAGGAAAATATGGGAAAATGTGGGAAGTGGGGGGGGAGACAGAAACCCAGAACACATGGGAAAAGATGGAGAATCTTTTTAGTTGTGTGTATTTATTTGTGTGTTCTGGGGCCCCTTCAGCGAATCCCGAGAAAGCCCAAGAGGCATCGCGACGTGCAGATGCTCGGCGTGATGCGCCGCCCTCGCCTCTGCCCCGGCCGAAGCGCGCACATGTCTGACAGGTGTAGCATCTGTGGTCATGCGGGCGGCGGCCAGACGGAGGTCCAGCATCTTCGGGATGTCGGAGTTGGCATGCGGGCGGGATTGCGCGGGAGCCCCAGAGGGGGACAGAAACCTGCGCGGTCCTCGATTATGTTTCTCCGAACACCGCTGACGACGAGAGCTCCATTGCTCCTGCGTGTGAACGTGTCGCACATTGAGCGCGTCACAGCCCCGCGTAGCCAGGAAGACTTGCAGATGGAATACGGACGGCTGAACAGACTTGCCATGTGCGGGGACGGGACATGTTGGCTCTGACCAGATCCGTATGTATGATTGTGCCACGGCGGCAGCGCGAGTTGGGAGTCCGCGTTGCAGCAGTGTCTTGCTAAGGCAGCATTGGGAGTGCAGTCGCCACAGAGAAAAGCATCGCCCCATCCAGACCTCCGGAGTCGTGATTCGGTCCAACTCCTGGGCCCCGTCGTTCTCGACCCCTTCCCTGGGACTGGTGCTTCTTCCTGGGTCGTTTCCTGTGATTCCCCGAGGCCGACGTCAAGGACACACCAGGAACCCGTGAAATCACGACGTCGGGGGTCTGGGTAAGTATCATCGTCGCGCACAGCAGCTCCGCGCCGTGGCGTGACGCGGCCGCGGTCCCAGCGTGGGCACTCGAGGTCAGACGCCGCCAGTCGCCCAGAATATATATAGGCCTCCCAGCTGAGGTCGGGCAAGCTTGCCAAGAGAACACTTTTGCATCCTCGCCCACTCGGTCCATCCTTGGCCACTCTCGTTGGCCAGCCTCCTTCGAAAAACATCGACGTGCCCGTCCAAGGCCCTTGCATCCTTGCCGCGCATCCTTACGATACGAGCCGACCGCAGATGGTGTCGGAGGACTGCCCCGCATCGCCGATGAACCGGCGATGCGGCTCCATGAGGAGCCCGATGCTCTCCACGCCGACGCCGCGGATGCGCCGCCGATGTCGCCGACTCATCGACGGTTCGTCGACGATGCATCGGCGCTGCGGCGCGAGCTCTCGACCCCCTCCACTCCGACCCTATCTTGGGCGACCTCTACAGCATCGGCCGACGTCGAGCGGCCTGCGCTCCTGGAGAGCCGCGATTGGTTCGATGTTGAGCGACCCACGCGGTGTCCGAGCCAGACGCCGACGTCGCGACGTGGGTCCACCATACAGTCGGGGCGTTGACCTAAGGAACCCTAAATAAGGTACGAGGCCCCCTTTTTGTTCCATAAGTGAACCTTCGATTTCCTGTCGAAAACGTAAGGGTAGCCTGAGGCAAGCCGTGAAACACTGAAGGAACGCGGAGCCCCTCCCCCCAACGAAAAGGGTTCCTTCTTCAGGGCCCCGACTGTACGATCCTCGTCCCAATCCCCGAGGCCTGCGATGCACCCGGACCGAGGGCAGTCTTGTGGGACAGCCGCATTGGCGGGTCGGCGCATCATGCCACTGTTCCGAGCATTGCTTCAGCTCGTGGGCGAGAAACATCTCGGTGCCCGCGGCCTCGCGGGCCAGGCCCCTGGGCCGCGACCCCGCGGATACGGAGCGTTTCTTCGCGGATGCCCCGCGCGGGACGTACCCGTGCGACCGCGTACCCACGGGATCGTGCCGCAGAATCCAGATTGCGAGTGCACGGGTACGTATATGTTCGAGCGCAGGAGGCGAAGCAGGAGAAGGATTTGGAGGATTAGAAGCGGAGGAGGAGGTGAAGGACTAGAAGGACAAGGAAGACGAGGACGAGGGCCAGGATGGAGGAGGAATACCAGAAGGCCAAGTAGAAAGAGGAGCTGATGAAGTTGGAGGAGGAGGACCAGACCAGACCAGAACTCGTGGTTAGAGTGGCCTCAAACGAAGAGACATTGGGAGGGGAAAAGAAGCACAGACACAATGGATCGTCAATCCCCGGAAAAATGTGAGAAAAGATGGGAAGTGCCGAGGGACGACCACAATCCGAAACATGCGAGAAAATACGAGGAATCCAGGGATGTGTGTCCACTGAGTTGTGTGGCCCAGGGCCTCTTCAGACAGGGCAGCCAGGACAACGACTCGCATCCGGAGGCATCGCACGACGGGTCACGGACGCGCCGGCCCTGCGGGCGGGCTGCCCACCTGGCCCTGCATTGGGGGCCCACGGGCAGGAGATCGCGGGGGCCCGGCGGGAGGCCCCCCGTCGGAACGGAACCAGACGGGGGCGAATTGTCCACGTGGTCGCTTTCTTGATCCTTGTTTTGCCGATCGGCGCGGGCTCCTCGCCCCCCCCCCCCCTCCCCCCCCATCCCTTGGAGTAGGTCTTGGCCGTTTGTGGCGCCTGTGTCGAGCAGGTGGAGTCTCCCCCACAGGACGCACTGTCACAGACGGTCGCATGAAGCAGAGGTCTGGGGCCAGACCCCCCCCCCTCCCCCCATCCGCCCAATGCCGAAACGCCGAATAAGAAAACGTCCACCATCCAGTCCAGCCCATCGTCAGGATTCAGAAGGTGCGGCCTTGAGACATCAGCGGGCGAGTTGCCGCAAGAAATGGCGCGCTGATGGGTGGCGCAGGCGCACCTCCTGCCTTTCCTGGCCTGCAGACTGTCCAAGTTGATTTCGAATGGGAGCTCCGAACCGGAAAAAATCGAGCTATATGGAATGCCTCCGGTGCACCGGAGAAGGGGGCTGGGAGTCCCAGCCTGGAGAGAAGCACGATACGCAGCAGGAAGGTCGACGACCTTGGCGCTACTGCAAGGGGGAACGATTAGTGGACACTCCCCCGCTACCCCCAGCTCGAAGTTGGCACGCGCGGGGGCGACTGCGGTCGAAGTGCAACTCATCAGACCCACCGCCAACTTGGATCATTGGGGGGGGAGGGGGAGGCGCTGATGCTTTTTACTATGTTCGGATATGTTTTTTTGGGGAAACTGTACATGCGAGCGACCTTTCAATCGATGCTTCTGTTTAGAGAACTGTACATGCGAGCGACCTTTCATCCGATGCTTCTGTGCAGTGCCATTTCGGCTGAAGAGCCCCTGGAAGGCGAAAACTACCTGCGCTTGGCACACAAACCACATCAGCACCCGAGCAGGCTTGATAGTCCTCTCGATGGGGGATGTTTTTTTTTATGTTCGGATCTGTTGCGAATGGCTTCGATGTTTTCCTCGAGATCCGCCTGCAGGAGGACATGCCCGGCCGAATCCTGCACCCCTGCCGCTGCGCCCGAGGCCGCCGCTGCCCTCCCTCGCGCGAGGCCGCGGGGCCTCCCTCGCCCTCTGGGCTTAAGTCGGGCATGTCCCTCTGCATGGGGAATAGGCATAGTTTAAGCAATCGTCTGGGGAGGATTTGGGGGATATTCATAGCTTTTTTAAGCTGGGGGGGGATATTCATGGCTTTTCACTGGGGGAATCTGCATAGGTTAGGCCATCTGCATGTCCCTCTGCATGGGGGATACGCATAGCTTTTGAGCAATCGTCTGGGGAGGATGTGGGTCGTGACTTTTGATCCATTATGCTTGAGCACTTTCTCCGCACTTCGAAGTGTTCTTCCAAACTCCGCAGATGGGAGGAAACGCCCGACCCAACTCCAGGCTCCCGCGGGGGAGCGGGCCCGTCGCGTGCTCGCCCCCCGCCGCCGCCGGCGCCCCGTGGATCGCCACCGCCACCGTGGGCCCGCCGATCTTCGTCGTCTGCTGGGCCGCCAAAATCGGAGGATCGCGCCGCATCGCCGATGCATCGCCGATGCGGTTCGATGTGGAGCCCACTTTCCTTCACGCCGACGGCGCCGGTGCGTCGCCGACGTCGCCGGTGCATCGCCGATGCATCGGCGATGCACCGGCGACGTCGGCGCGATCTTCTGACCTATCTCTTCGGAACCCATCGGGGAAGCCTCTACGAACGGCACAGCTGGGTCGTGTAGGTGTCGGACCTGTCTTTCAGCCTCTTGTCGCACCATCGGCTGCGGGTCTTGCAGTGGCGAGCGTCACCCTGCAGCAGCTCCAGGCTTGTCTTCAGCATGAGCGTCTCCGCCCAGTAACCTCAGGAAGGCATTAAGAACCCCCCCCCGCCCCCTTTTCCGGTGGATTATAACGCCCCCGCACCCTGGAGCGTTATGGCCGCACCGGAAGACCTGGCTGAGGGGACTCGGGGCCTAGCTAAGGCCTGCCTGCTAAGGACTCTCGTCTTCCTCCTCCTCCTCCTCCTCCTCCTCCTCCTCCTCCTCCTCCTCCTCCTCGTCGTCGTCGTCGTCGTCGTCGTCGTCGTCGTCCGATCTGGGCTAGATCCTTGACATTCGTCACGACACCCTCTCTTGGCGTTAGTGGGGCGGCCGCCGATGGTGGATTTTGTTTTCTGTGTGCGGCGGGTGCTAAGTGTATCGTTCGGCTAAAACTGCCCGCCTGGAATATTGAGAAAACCGGGTGCTAAGAATAACCCAGGGGGGGTTCTTAATGCCTTCCTGAGGTTAGGTCTCGAGAGTCTTCTTGTTGTGGCCATCCGTCGTGTCGGCCTCGATCAGCCAGCGCAGCACTGCCATGAAGACGTGCGGCCACGCAGGGCCGTGTGTGTGTGCGTCTTGCCGTCCTGTTTGCACGACGCCGCGTAGGCGTTGCCAGCCTGGATCACGGCATCGGCGACCCCGCACGTGGCTGGGATGAGATATCAGCTGGAGGTCGCGCCAGTGACCTCCGCGAGCTCGCGCGCGTTGGACAACCCGAGCTTCCCGAGAATGAGCACGGGCTGCAGCACGACGGAACTGGCTTCGGCCTTGAGCAAGTACTGCGCCCCTTCCGCGGCCTGCTCCCGCTTGGCCTCCTTGGCCCGGTTGCCGTCGCCCAGTGAAGCCGCCGCCGCTGTGGCAGGACGCTTGAGCAGCCAGGTGGGAGCGTCCGTCCGCGGGTCCACTAGGTCCGAGATCTCCCAGAGACCGTCCACCGGCGCCGTGGTCACCAAAAATGAAAGGAGGCACCGTGAAGTGCGAGCGCACGCGAGCATGGAAGTCCAAGGGCTGGGTGCTGTTGGAGGTGCCCCTGGCCCAAGGTGCCCCCAGGAGTTTCAAGGAGGCTCTCACGGCCTCCAGAGCACCCCTCACGAGGCCCACGGGAGGAAGAGGAGGAGGAGGAGGAGGAGGAGGAGGAGGAGGATGACGAGGAGGAGGAGGAGGAGGAGGAGGAGGAGGAGGAGGAGGAGGAGGAGGAGGAGGAGGAGGAGGAGGAGGAGGAGGAGGAGGGGGGCCCAGGGGATCCAAAACGGAGCGAAATGCTGGGGCACCTTGGGCCACGGGCACCTTTTAGCAACCCCCGAAGGGAGGAGGAGGAAGCAGAGGGGGAGAGCAGACAGAGGCGGCATGTTGTGCCAGGATTAAGTCGGGCCTGTCCCTCTGCAGGAGGAACCTTGAAAAATAGCCAAACAAATAATATGGTGACCATTTTGATATATGTTTGAACATGTTAGGTTTATGTGTATAGATTCAAAGAATCAGCTATTTTATGTTTTCGCGCAAAGCCCCCCTGTATGGGAGACAGGCCCGACCTAATGCAGGTGTTCGCCCCTCCCCCCCCACGGATTTCACACGAGTTCAGGACGACCGCCGGACAGTCACAGAGATCGACTACAAGAAGCATGAGCAGACCGTCAAGGAGTTGGATCGCCAGGAGAAGGAACTGTCGGGGTGGGGGAGGGGGAAGTGATGGGAGGATGCGGAGGGGGTATCTGATGAAAAGGGGGAGTGTGCAGAAAGAGGGGGAGGACATGGTGAGAGGAGAGGGATGGGGAAGATGGAGAGCGGAGGGAGTTGGTGGAGGGGGTGGCAGAAGGACGACGTCGACTCTTATGTTGAATGGGCGCAGTGCACAGTGCAGTTTTCGTTGCGTTCCGACCTCTTCGAAGCATTCGTGCATTCTCTCTCTCTCGCCGACAGCACCGCTCTGACGTCGGGTCTGACATCTAGAGTTCTGGCTTTGGGAGCCGTGCTGGTATTGCTCGCCATCGTCTTATGACTTCCGATGCTCAGCACCTTTGGTGTGGCTGCCACTCGCTCGCGCCGGGCACGCTGAGCACATCCGCCTGCTGGGGCAGAGTGGCGGCCTAGTGGTGGAAGGAGTCGTCCAGCGCATCATGCGCATCCGGCTTGCTTTTCCAGTTCGGGTCGGCCTCCGTCAGATAGACTCGGCGGAGGGGGGTAGGGGGAGGGGGAAAGGCGTCTCAGAAGCACCCCGGCTTCTTGGAAGGCGCGGGCCCTCTCTACAGATGTAAGGCCCGCACCTTCTAAGAGGCAGCCTCCTTCTAAGACGCCTTCCCCCCTCCCCCCATACCCCCCCTCTGCGCGCCGCCAAGAGACCCGCCGGCTTGCGGGGCCGGGGGCTACTCGAGGCAGGGCGTCAACGGTGAACAGCAGGGGGTCCCGCCAGAGGCAGTGCACCAACCACTTGGTGCGAGGCCAAGGTTGAGGAGCCGACGCCAGTGTCGACCAGGTATGCGCGCAGCATGTCCTCCTACCCTTCCTCCGCCTCCTTCTCCCCCTCGTCGCTTACATCTCCCCTCAAGCCCTTGGTGCGAAGCCAAGGCTTGTGAGCCGATGCCAGTGTCCACCAAGCATGCGCGCATTCTGTCCTCCTACCCTTCTCGACCTGCTTCTCCCCCTCGTCGCCCTTATATCTCCCCTGCTCCTTGGGTGGGTTCTTGGAAAGCGCACCAGAGGGTGCTCCTAGGGAGGTCTTCGAGGGTACTGGGCGGACATGGGGAGCTCTAAGGGAGGCATGTGGCCGGGGGGTCTTGAGCCCCCAGAGGGGCCACAATAACATGCAACGAAGAAAACGTATCTTCTGTGACAGGTTGTTGGATTTTGAGGGTGTTGGTGGTGGTTCTTTAGTCTTCGGGTTTCTTGATACGATGCGCATTTGCTTATCGTGTGCTTCCAGGGTGAGTTCATGATTCCTCCTGGTCTGTCTGTCTCTCTCTCTCTCTCTCTCTCTCTCTCTATATATATATCTTTCTCTCTCGACATTCGCACGCAAAACATGTCCCAGTAATCCTGCACGAGCGTCGTTCCCCCCTCGTGACCGCCTCAGTGTCCAGCCGATCCCAGAGCCCTCCCGAGAGGCCCGATTTGAAGCGGAGGCGAGGCACAGGCCGGTGCCGCTCCTTTGGCAGCAGGCTGGCTTCGGCCAGACTCGCGGCTCCGGAGGGGCCTGCGACCCTCGGCGGGTCCGCACGTTTTCGCTTTTTCGGAACGCTGCCGAGGTCCAGCACCTACAGTCAAGGCGCCGAGGCAAGGGTCGCTTCGGGCCCCGGAGGGGCTGCGGCTTCTCAGGTCGGAGAACGTGCTCGAAGCCGAGGCTTGCCGTGGCCAGAGAAGGCCCTTTTTCGTTCCTTACCTGGCCTTCCCGTTGGTCGCGGGCCACGTTTCTATCCCAGCCCCCGACTTGTCGACGAAAAATGAAGCGGCTAAGAACAGGAGGGCAACCTCGGGATACACCCCCAGGGGGCTATTCGGACGCACCACTATCGAGGATGGACGCCCCCCCTCGTATATGCCGGGGCTGGGCCCCAAACTTCTGGCCCACCCGGAAACCCTACGAAGCCTGGGATAGGGATCGACCTATCTCCTGTGTTTATCTGGCAGGACCACGGCTGCAGCCCCGTGCGCCTTGGAGGCCCATCGGCACCTCAGCGGGGGGCGAGCAGCTGCTTGCGGCGGAGAGGCAGAGCGGCGAGTCGGCTCTGACGCCTCCCGGGCGCGGCTGCCCCCTCGGGCGCCAGGCCTTTGGCGGCTCTGCTTCTGTTTCTTCTCCTGGCAGGGGGCCTCCTCCTCCTCCTCCTCCTCCTCCTCCTCCTCCTCCTCCTCCTCCTCCTCTCCCTCCTCCTCCTCTCCTCCTCCTCCTCCTCCTCCTCCTCCTCCTCCTCCTCCTCCTCCTCCTCCTCCTCCTCCTCCTCCTCCTCCTCCTCCTCCTCCTCCTCCTCCTCCTCCCCTGGAGCTCGCGACCTCCTGCCCCGGAGCCGGAGTTCCGTCCCGAGCGTCAAAGGCTCGGTGCCGTCGCCGCCGCGAGGAGGAGAAGTTCGAGAAGGCGAAGCAGGAGGCGTCGCAGTGGTGCACGCTGGACCACGAGCACGGGCCGTGGTGCCGACGGCCCACGGGGGGCTGCTCCCACGATCACCAGAAGGAGTGGCAGATCTACGAGAAGAGCACGCAGGCCCGTCGGCCCCCGCGCTGCGATCGCGCGCCGCGGGTCCAGTGTTTCTGGGGGCCGCTTCTGGGCCAGTGTCCGACGAAGGCATCTAGACACCACCACCGTGCCAGGCCAGGACCATCCTGGGCCATAGGATGGCTTATGGCTTACAGACCCTCCTGGCCTCGGCCAGGAGGGCGTGTGCACCATGCCAGGGCCAGGATGGCCCTGGCTTGGCACGGTGGTGGTGCATAGATGCCCTCTGCGAAGAGTGGGGCGTGAGCCACGAGTCGGGACGGAGAGGTAGTTCCAGGGAAGGGGCAGGGAGATCTGGGAGCCCACGGAACGAACAGTCACACCAGAAAGAGCCTTCTTTCTTGGCTGTTCGCGAGTGCAGTGTGAGGGCAGCGCGTCGCGGCAGCTTTAGCAGGAGAGGGAGAGAGGGCAGGGGGAGGAAGAGCTTCGGGTGGACAGTGCCCGGGCCCATGAGGAGCTGAGGAGAGGAGGATCCCCGGTGCAGCTGCCCCGCGCGCCCAGGAGAAGATCGATGCGGCAGACCGCTTCCGCCAAGAGGCCCGTGCCGCCACCACGCCGTGCGCATGCCGAAGCGCAGCAGCCTGCCTGTCGAGAGGCGAGGGGCAGAGCCGGGCGAAAGGGGGGGATTGGGAAAGGGGGGGGGGGTACGAAATTCGCTGAATGCAGCTGGTTTCGGCCTCACCGAGGGGCCCATTCCTCGATGCATGGCCGCCTCCGGCGCCGGGAGGCGCCAGGAGAATCAGCTACGTGAGCTGATTCTCGCCCCCCCCTTTGCTATCCCCCCCCCCTTGCGCCCAACCCGAGAATGGGCAGAACAGGGGAGCACAGCTCCGCCCATCCATAGGGGAATGCTCTGCTCTTGGGGCGAGCGTCCGAGCTTCCTGGACGCAGTAAGTGTTGCTCCCGCTCCAGCTCCTGCTGCCGGGACGCCGGTGGTCGCCGGAAAACCTCCTGGAGGCCCGGAAGTAAACGATGCCCGAACGCACAAACAACTCCCAGCAGTGCCAGGCAGTCATCCTCCTCCGTCCTCGAGAAGGCGTACTTCGGCAAAGCTGCGTGCCCGAGGAATGCCCTTACGGCGGCGAGGGTCTGGAGTCCAGCGAGATGTCCGCTGCACTGAAAGAGGTTCTCCTTACAGCGGACAGACGAATTTAGAAGCTGGTCTGCCGCCAGTGGGTGCCGCACATAGGTTTCTGATCCCGGTTGCCTGGGGTAGCCACAAAAGTCTTGGGCCATTTATTTGTTTGCATATACGGAGAAGGTACCCTAATCTGTATTGCATGATTCGTATTGTATGTGTCCGTTTCAGTTGGTCTCTCTGGAACGTGCCCCAGCCAGCGGGGATTTCGTATGCACCCGGCTGTTCCCAGCGTCAGGGTCCCATGAGGATTCTCCTGCGTGTGGTCGAATTTCACGGTCCCACCCGCTAGAGAGTCCCACCCGATAGGGTTCCTTTGGTAGGGTCCTACCTGAGAGCCACATTCTGAAAACGGCCCGCCCTCCATCCGCAACACGGCAGCACATGTGAATATTCAGATTCATAGATTGTGAGGAAGTCTCCGGCGACGACCCGCCCTACAGCTCGTCTCGGGGTGCGACAGGGAGGATCGACTTAAAAGAGAAACGGATGGAGGAGCAGCGGCAGCAGAAGCAGGAGATGGAACAGCCGCAGCAGCAGGAGGAGGAGGATGAGGACGAGGAGGAGGAGGTTACGCAGGGGAGGTGGGAGAGGAGAACCAAACGGTTCCTCCTCCCCGCTTGACTCCTCTTTGTCATCCCCTCCTCCCCCTTCCCCCTCCCCCCCTCTCGCCAACGGCCCCCCTCGCCCTCTCTGACCCTTCCCTCTTGCCCCACCGACGCTGGAAGACTTGGATCGCTCGTCCAGAGACTGAGCGGCAGCCCCTGGCACGGCATCCGCTCCGCAGCTTAGAACGCACGCGCCCCTGCGCACTGCCGCCCCCCGCCCTTCTCCTTGCCGCGGGTGCTGCCAGGGGCCAGGGGTGGCGCTGGACCGGGGTGGCCCCAACTTTTCCAGGAAGTTCCATGCGACCTCCAGGGCACCCCGCCGCGAGGTCCAAGGTGCCCAGGGGGTCCCAAGGTGGCGCAGAAAGCCGTTGGCGCGGGACCTCGGGCCAGGGCCACACTTGCCGCAACCTCCGATCACAGACGGGACTCACTAGTACAGGCCCAGCAAGATCATCAGGGGAGCCCTCGTATCTTGACTGTCGCGTGTCATGTCCTCCTCGTGTCTGGAGCACGGGGCTGCCCCCGGAAGAGACCCTGTGTTCTCCCGGGCGGCCTCTGCAACGGGTCTCGGCCGTATCCTGCTCGCCCAGTCTTGGCCCCTTCCCTCCCGCAGCGCGCGGGGCCCCCCGACCCCCGCCGACGCCCAGGGCAACGAGGCATTCAGGAAGCACAACTACGGCCTGGCCGCGGTGCACTACCGCAAGGCCGGGCGGCGCCCGCCCGCGGTGATGAAGGGGGGAGGGACGCGTGGCGAGGAGGGGAGGGGGAGGGGGGGGAGTGGGAGGGGGGGGGGGGGGGCGAGGGAGGGGGGAGAGGGAGACGGGAGGGGGAGGGGAGGGAGGGGGGGGGGGGTGGAGGGGGGGGGGGAGGGGGGGGGGGGGGGGGGGGGGAGGGGGAGACGGGAGGGGGAGGGGCAGAGGTGGGAGGGGGAGGCAGGAGGATGCTTTGGATTGCGACGCTGGGGGAGACAGGAGGGGGGAGGGAGGGGGGAGAGGGATCGGATCGGAATGGCATTGAGGCGGTCCCCGTGCCTCCGCTGGTGGGTTACTCTTGTTCCGTTGATCCACCGCCCGCCTCGACAAAGGGCGGCCAGGCCATGAGCCTGCAGGCAGCCCAACGCAGCAAACGCGGGGGGGGGGGCGGCGGCCTGCGCTAAGCGCACGAACGAGCATTGCAAAGTGTACACATGCGTGGAATTATGCACAGTAGTACAGAACGACAGCGCGGAAAACAAACAAGGATAATAATGCAACCATCGTAACAGCAGCCGGCAAAAGGAGGAGGAGGAGGAGGAGGAGGAGGAGGAAACGCTGGAGAGAGCGCGCCCAGCTCACATTCAAGACCCCACCAATGGAGGAAGAGGTGCGTGTTTGGAAAGAGTAGAGACCTCATTGAAATATACTGTGGAGTCGAAGCTGCGTGCGACTTCTCCTCGACGACGGGCATGCGCACGTCGTGCGACACGACGGCGTCCACCCAGCATCCAGCGTCCGTCCCAGTATGCGCGACACGCCGGCGTCCACCCAGCAACCGGCGATCGTACCAGGATGTGCGACACGCCGGCGTCCACCCAGCATCAGGCGTCCGACCCAGGATGTGCGACACGCCGGCGTCCACCCAGAGAGCCCTAGGGAGGGACCCTGACCACTGGGCACACCCAAACGTTGAGCCAAGACGAAAACTGGCTGGATGATGGCACCACGACCTGCGGGACGCGGGACTAGACTGTGCAGTTGGATTGGCACGGGAAGTGGCCCACTAGAACTCGAAGCGGAGGCCCTGGGCGACCCAGGGTGCCACAGCCAAGTGCCTGGCCGCCCTGGCCGCCTGCAACCTGGCAGCCTTGCGGGCCTGCGTCTCGGCACGATTCGCCTGTATTCGCTGGCGCTGAGCTGGAGTTAACTCCGGCGACGGTGGGCCTAGCGGTGGCTGCTCCTCCGGGAGCACTCCCGCCGATGCCAAATCGTCTGAAACCGTTTGCTCGGTGGCGGCATCGGGCGCCGCATCGGGCCCAGGCTCGGCAAGGAGGTCGGCGGGGTCGTCTCCTCCGCCCGGAGGGCGGAACCGGTGCTTCTCGGGATTGCAACAGCGACGCCGTGCGAGCACCCGCATCCACGAAGTCCGGAGCCCAACCGACGGCGTGATCAACATACGGGTCCCAGCCAGCATAAAAGGCAAGAAGTTCGTCCCGAGCATCATCAGGGTCAAGAAGATCTTCGGGGTAGCACGCGTCGTCTGGATCCCACAGCGTCTTGATGGTAAGCCACGTGGACCGTGCAAGGGCGGCGCACAACAACGGAGGGTATGTTTTTTTCTTTGCTGTGCGCCAGGCCCGCTCCTCCGGATCCCACCCTCGGAAGCCAGGGTGCGCTCTGGGGCCGTGGGAGCACCGGCCATTTCCTGGCGTGTCGGTGAGGCAGGCGTGGAATTGGGTCATACGAAGGCCGAGGAACCGCGTCGGAGCCTTTGCAGCCTGTCCGAACTCGCATTGGTCAATGTCTGCCGTACAGGTGATGGGCGCCAGCAGCAGCGCCTGCCAGGGAGCCCAAGAGAAAGAGCTGGGGGCTCGCGCCTCCCAAAAGCAAGGCTGGGGATGCTCCATCCAACCGCTAGTGCCTACTTGGTCATGCTGGCCTAAGAGAGTCACCAGCGCTACGAGGAGCGTGCTGCCGATGTGGAGCTGTCGCGCTTGTCGCGTGGTCGCCGTGCGAATGCCCCAATTAGCATCATGCGTGCGCAATGGTGGCTTACGCGGATCCTTAGGACACCTCGCCGTCCCCTGGGTGGCGCTGCGATGGGCTTCTCGGGGGGGCCAGCGGACTGACGCGGCGTGTGCGAGCGCCGCGCAGCGGACAGCGCATGGCGCTGTCCGGTGCCAGTGCCGCGGTCCTTCTTCAGTTTCCTGTCGCTTGTAGTGCATGCGGGCACATGCTACGTTTAGCTCAAGGCGCTGTACTGTCATAGCGCGCAGAGCACTGTCCTGCAATGCGAACACAGCGCAAGGCGCTGCTACTTCCACGTTTTATGTCTCCAATTGTCCCTCCTCCATATGTTTCCACGCCCCCTCGCGGTCGGCCTCCTGCTAACGACCTGACTCTTAAGCGTGACGCCCCATATGTGAAACATTTGACTCTGGTCCGACGTTCTTTGGCGAAGCGTTCAAGGGCATTTCGGCTAATTCAATGATTGTTTTTGCTTTGAATTTTCCGATGTATATTCGCCACATGCTTAAAAAGGGTTGGGCACGTCCCCGCTATTGGTTTGAACTGTGAATGCCTCCACGACCCAACAAGGAAGCCGTACATTCCAAAGCTTGCGCAAACAACCCATATACCCATCCGCAAGTTGATGCCAAAACCCAACTGGCGTAAAGACGCGCGGGCCCTGATCATTCAGATTCACGGTTTGAGTTGGCGGTTGGTGAAGGTGACGACGACATCGGCGATTACGACGATGATGATGGTAGTGGCGTTGGTGGCACTAGCGATGACAGTTACGATGGAGAGTACTTTGATCTTCATTTTGTTGACGGCGGTGGTTATGCTGACGACGGATGTGATAGCAATGAAAATGACGGTGATGAGGATGACGGTGGCAAGATGACGCACGCGATGGTAATGACGGTGGTGCTGATGAGAAAGATGATAAGGTGTACGCGCGCAGTAACCTTGACAAACCGCTGATAGATCGTTGAAATTATGTGGGCCCATTTTAGGCTCCTCTTGCCATCGTGGGCCGTTCCGGGCGCCTCTTCGACCGTCTTGGGACCCTCTCTTGAGCCGCTTGAAGGACCCTTTCGAGGCCTCTTGGGTTGTCTTGGGGCGATCTTGGGGCATCGTGGGGCGCTTGGACGTTGTTAGGAACCAAAGCATTGATATGAAAGACATGCACGATTTGTTTCACGGAGTGGCGCGATTTGGGCCTCTTTGGGCCCACTTTGGGGAGCTATTGGAGCTTTTTGGGGGCGTCTTGGGGGCACCTTGTGCCGTGTTTAGGCAATCTTGGAGCGATCGTGGGCCGTCTCGGGGGCCTCTTGGCCCCTCTCCGGTGTCTCTTCGGACCCTGTGGCCGCGTCAGAAGTCTGGGCCGTCTTGGAGCCATGTGAAGCTCAGGGCCCCCCTGGGGGAGGGGTCATACGGGCGCAACGCGGATGTGTTGGAGGTGTGCTGGGACCCTTGGCCCCCAGGTTGGGGGGGGCCTGTATTCATCAATGTAGCATAAAAGTGTGTACGTATGTATATATTAGTGTGTCGTTCATTATCTTCTCTTGTCGGTTTTTTGCGTGCAGCTTTCGAGCAGAGGGCAGCAGCAGTCTCAGAGGAAAATTGATACAATGGCAGCTCCTTGCACAAGCAGCACCTGTTCAGAAGATCCCCGATGGCTCAGACCACACGAGGGACTAACGAGAAGAACCCCGATGTCTCAGACCACACGAGCAGTCAATGCCACTTCCGACCAGACTGATAGGCAGCGGAAGTACGTAAAGCTCAAAAACGTTCGTTCAGGTTGCTCCTCTGGGCCCCCTCTAGAGGCCGTCTTGGGGGACCCTTGAGCCGTCATGAGGGCCTCTTGGGCCGTCTTGGCGCCTTCTTGGGTCGTCTTGGAGCGCTTTTGGATGCCTGTTGGGCTGTCTTGGGGCAGTCTTGGGCGCCTCTGGGGCCGTCTTGGAAAGTTGTACGCCAGAAAGAGCGGAAACCCGAAAGCCTTTGCAAAAGCACTTATGGGAAGTCATTAGATCTTGCCTATTGAATTTCTCTTGGGGGGGATTCTCTTGGAGTCTTCTTGGAACGTCTTGGAAGCCTCCTGGGCCGTCTTGAGGCCATCTCGGGCCATCTTGAAGCGCTCGTGGGCCGTCTCGGGGGCCTCTTGGAGCGCTCGATCAGGCCTATTGAACCGTCTTGGGGCAGTCTTGGGCGCCTCTGGTTCCGTCTTGGAGGGTTGGACGCCAGAAAAAAACTATAATTTAACGTGATTCCAACAACGATGGGGCAGATTTAGTTCTTGCCTATTGAATCTTGCTTGGGGGGTCCTCTTGGAGCCTTCTTCGAACGTCTTGGGGGCCTCCTGAGTCGTTTTGAGGCCACCTTGTGCCATCTTGGAGTGCTCGTGGGCCGTCTCGGGGGCCTCTTGGCGCCTCCTCAGTGAGTCCTGGGGCCTTCTATGGCCGCGTGGGAAATACTCGGGACCGTCTTGGGACCATGTGAAGCCGGCGCCCCCAGGGGCTTGATACGGGCGCAACCTGGATGTGCTGGAGGTGGCCTGGGGCCTCGGTGTTGGGGGCACGGCATTCATCCAAATCGTGTGTACCTACAGATATACACGTTGCAACGCAGCCACGAAGGAGGACCCAGGGCAGCCTGAGGGGGGATGCCCGAGAGCCGCTGAGAAAGCCTGGCATGACCGTGCTGAGGGCATCCTTGGATGCCTGTCGGGGGCGCTCCTGGAGGGCTCTCTGAGAAGTTGCTTGGTGTCTCTTGGAAAAGCGTCTCGAAGGCCTTTTTGTCATAATTGGAGCCTTTAAGGGGGCGCCTCGATGATTCTGGGGGATGCTCTGGGGGGCCCTCGGGCGCTCCGGGGGCCTCTTGGACGCCTCTGGGGGCCCTGCTGGCGGTCTCGAGGGGCCGTCGTCGGAGGGCGGGCTCGCTCGGCGAGTTCGGGCTTCTCCTCTCGGGCCCCTCCTGGGGCTCGCCTGGAGCACTCTGGGGCTGCATCGGGGGCCCTCTGGGCCGCCGTGGGGCCCTGTCGGGGGTCTCTTTGGGCAGTATTGCCAGATTCTGGTGCGGTTCTGGGGCTGTTTAAGAGCGCGAAAATCGTCGACGCACAATCGCAAATCCATAGTTCTTGCCCATCGCAGGTCCTCTTGCTGCCGCTCTTGGGCTGTCTTAGGGGGCCACTTCAGCCGTCTTGAGGCCGTCCTGTGCGTCTTGGATGTTTTTTGGGCCGTCTTGGCGGCTTCTTGCCGCCCCCATAAGCCATGCTTGACGCATCGGGGGGCCCAAAGAGCTTCTGGGAGTGGGGAAATCGGAAGGGTGTGTCGACGAAGGGCCCAGGACAAGGGACACACATATGTGTATATAGATACATACATACGTATGTACGTACGTACGTACATCCATCCATCCATCCATCCATGCATGCATACATACATACATACATCCTTCTTTCATACATACATACATACATACATACATACATACATACATACATACATACATACATACATACATACATACACACATACATACATACATACATACATACATACATACATACATACATACATACATACATACATACATACATACATACATGCATGCATACATACATACATACATACATACATACATACATACATACATACATACATATATACATGAGCACATACAGACATACATACGTACAGCTACAGCTGTCTGTGTGGTTGTGCTATATTGCGAAGGCCTTACGGCCGGTGCCGCCGACCCTGAATGGCGACGACGACGACGACGACGAGCGCTCTTGGGGGCCTCTTGGGGGTAGTTTGTGGGCCTCTTGGGAAGGTCGTAGGGGCCGCTTGGAAGCCTCGTGGGGGCCTCTTGGGGCTTCCTGGGGGTCTCTTGGAGGGGGCCTGGGACGTCTTGGAGGCTTCTTGGACGGTCTTGGCGCTGTCTTGGGCGTTTGCGGCAGATCTTTGGGCGACTCGGGGCCCTCTTGGGCCGTCTCGGGGGCCATCTTGGGCATTCGGACCTCATTTGGAGTGTTTTCGATGTTTCTAGGCCGCCCGAGGAAAAACGAATCTGCCCCCCCACCCCCCCCCGGGACACCCCCCAGGACCCCCCCCCCACCCCCCCCGGGACCCCCGCCCCCGGGGAAGGGATCAAAGGGAAGGGGCTTCCCTTCGACTCGATTACGACACTGCTAGATTTTTCTCTCGCTCACGAGCTTGAGAAGGAAGCTGCAGGGAAAGGGGACGACGGAGGCGACGACCGACGGAGACGACGACTCGAACAGCCAAGCCCCTCGCACACGGCGACAGGGTCGGCGGATTTATACACACATCCGTACTTCGAATTTGCATATGTGGATGTATGCACCTGAGCGCACATACACACATGCATGCATGCACGCATGCACGCATGCATACATACATACATCCATACATACACACATACACATGTACATCCACTCACATGCATAACTCCATACACACATGCATACATGCATACGTCCGTGCGTACGCACGTACGTACGTACACAGTTGCATGCATACACACATGCATACATACATACACACACCTACATATATACTTACACACATACATACATACATGCATGCATACAGCCATCCATGCATGCATATATGAACACATACATATGTACATGCATGCAGACATACATGCATACATCATTCCATATATACGTACGTACATACATGCATATCTACGTGCACTTACATGTGTGTATCTAAATCATGTCCTGTATATGTATATATGATCCTCTCCTTATCTCTCCCTCTCTCATCATCTACAACATGCATGTCCTGCATGTATCGAACATATCCAGATTGCATGATCGTGATCTCTTCCTCTCGCTCTTCCTCCTTAGTTCTCTCTCTCTCTCTCTCTCTTTCTCTCTCCCTCATGCCTTTTGTTTGACATTCCCGTCGAGGCGCTATTGCAGTTCGACTACACCTTCCCAGAAGGCGAGGAGGAGGAGAAGGCTCCGCGGGCGGGAAGCGGGCTGAGCGAAGGAGTACATTGAGGAGGAGGAGGAGGAGGGGGAGGAGGAGGAGGAGGAGGAGGAGGAGGAGGAGGAGGAGGCGGAGGAGGAGGAGGCGGAGGCGGAGGCGGAGGCGGAGGCGGAGGCGGAGGAGGAGGAGGAGGAGGAGGAGGAGGAGGAGGAGGAGGCCTCCTCCTCTCTCCTCCTCCTCCCCCTCATCATCATCAGCATGAGGAGCGGAGGAGGCAACAAGCCAGACCTCGGACCCCCCCGAGCTGTCGACCTCAACCCCGGGGGTGCTTGTCATCCCAGGCCGTTGTTGTCGACGGCCCCACAGGGCCCTGGGGCGGCCGCCAGAAACCAGCAGCAGGAGAAGATTGGGAAGGCCCAGCGGCCAGTGGCGCCGACCCTGAAGGGGAACGGCGACGACGGCGGCGGCGGCGGCGGCAGCGGCGACGACGACGAAGCTGACGCTCTGGAGCCTTTCTTGAGGCTCTGTTGGGGCTTGTGGCGAAACCCCTCGGGACCCCCCCCTGCACACCCGGGACCCCCAGGAGCCCCCCCCCCCCAGCGGCGCGGGGAAGGGATCAAAGGGAAGTGGCTTCCCTTCGATTCCATTCCGATGCTGTTCAATTTTGCTTTAGACGGCGCGTATGAGGAAGAGGGCCCAGGCAAACGGAGCAGAGGAGGACGGAGACGACGACTCCAACGGAAAAGCCCGACTCGGACGGAAAAGCCCCTCACACACGCCGACAGGGTCGACGGATTTGCCAGCGCGATCTTTGGAGCCGCAAGAGGCCTCGGCTTGAACACCAGACATTCGGAGGAGGGAAGGATGCCCATACCGCTACCCTTCCAGCATTTTCGTATTTGTCGGCCTCCTAGGAGGCTCTAGTCGCCACTGCTGGATTCGCTTCGAAATCCTGGTCAGAACGCACCCTGGGAGAGGACCCGGGAGTAGCGGTATCGGTACCGTTTTCGGTTTTTGCCCCAGACTTTTGGGTACCTTGTCGCCGCGATTGCCGGCAGCATTTGAAGACGACCCCCAGACTCCCGGCACCCCTGCAGCCACCAGCATTCGGAGGAGAATACAGAGAAGGACGACGAGCAGAAGGTGGGAGAAGGAGAGAGGATGAATAGAGGGATGAGTTGAGAGGACAGACGCAAAAAGGGAAGAGGAGAAGGAGGAGGAGGAGGAGGAGGAGGAGGAGGAGGAGGAGGAGGAGGAGGGGGAGAAGGAGGAGGAGGAGGAGGAGGAAAGGAGGAGGAGGAGGAGGAGGAGGAGGAGGAGGAGGAGAGGGAGGATGAGGAGACGCGGAAGGGAAGACACATTGTTTCAAAGGCCGAGAAGTAGAGAGGGAGGAGGATGAGGAGGAGGAGAAGGAGGAGGAGGTTGATGGTGAGGATAAGTAATGTTGCAGGCTCAAAACGGCAGAACATAACGTAGCATTCAACGAGCGCGGGCGCGGAAATAGAGGACTCGAAGCTCTGCCCAGCAAAGTTGCCTCCTTGGGACTCACCAGGCAAGCCAGAAGCTGGGAATCCAACCATGCCTTGGCCAATTGTCCAACAAAAGGTACACGTGCCAAAAGGGGCAACGCAAGCACAAGCTGGGACCTGACATTTGGCCTCATTTCCCTGGCCATTTCCCAATATCGCCAGCAACGCTGTGCCTTGGGGAGGAAACCAAGCAAAAGAAGCAAACAACCAGGGACCGCCCTACACCCCGCGCCAAAAAGAGCAAGAAGCTTCGGGAGCGGCACCCCTGGGACGAAGACACGGAGCGTTGCCCAACGCCTGAACCCCGCCAAGCACGGCGGCGAGGTGCTCGCGGCGATGGGCGCGGCTACCGCGAGGTTGCAGGCCGAGCGCCACAGGCCAAAAACCCACCTCCGTAACGTCACGGGCGGTACACCTCGTAGGCCGCCGAGGACAACCCACGCGTTGAAGTGTGGTTGAAGCCCGGCGGACCTGTCCAGCAGCACCGCAGCACTCCAGGCCTCCTAGATAGGGTCGGGGTAGATGGGGTCGAAGGATCGCGCCGCATCGCCGATGCGTCGCCGATGCGGCTCGATGCGGAGCCCGATGATTTCCTTCGCGCGGACGCCGCCGATGAGTCGCCGACGTCGCAGATGCATCGCAGGTGCATCGCCGATGCATCGCAGATGCATCGCCGATGAATCGCCGATGTATCGCCGATGCGGCGCGATCCTCCGGCCCCATCTGCTCCGGCCCCATCTGGGAAGTCTCTAAGCACCCCAAGCTGCCCTGCCATCTCCCCCGACGGGAAGCACAGGACGGACGGGAGGGGGCGGGCGGGACACACACGCTCGGCGGCCCCCTTGGCGGTGCCACAGGGCGCCCGGGCCGCACGGATCGGCCGCGGCAGCAGGGACTTTTGCAAGACCCTGGCCTGGCGGCAGGAGGAGGGGGAGCAGGAGGGGGAGGAGGAGGAGGAGGAGGAGGAGGAGGAGGAGGAGGAGGAGGAGGAGGAGGAGGAGGAAAAGGAGGAGGAGGAGGACGAGAAGGAGAAGTAGGAGGACAGGGAGGAACAGCAGCAGTAGCAGCAGCGGGAGCAGGAGTAGGAGGAGCCGGAGGAGCACGAGGACCAGGGGAGGGCGCGGGAGGGGAAAGGAGGGGACCGACAACGACGAGGAAGCCCCAGAAGCGTGGGTCGCATTTGGGCAAGAGCGCCGCTCTGAACGACGGGAGCAAATCGCCGATCCTGAAGTGAGGCCAACGCCACAGCAGAAGCACCATTTTTGAGACGTCAACGACGTACCGACGGAACAATACCATCTGGGACAACACTTGTTTGCAATAACCGATGCGCAAAAGCACGGCATCCGGGAGAAACGGAGCCCCGCCGGCGCAGAATCGGGGGAGAGAGGGGAGCTGTATTCTCAGCCACGCGGTGAGGGGGGGAAGGGGAGGGGGGAAGACTGCTTAGAAACACCCTGCTTCTGAGAAGGCGTTGGCCTTATCTATAGATCCAGGGCCAGCGCCTTCTACGAAGCAGCCGCCTTCTAAGAAGCCTTCCCCCCTTCCCCTTATCCCCCTGCGCGCGACGCCAGCATATTGGGAAATTGTGGAGGCAGATCGAGAAATTGTGGAGGCTCTGGTCGGCTCTGGCTTGCGGTTGCACTGGTCATCCTGGACGAGTCCCCGCTGTTTTTTGTTGCCGCCGCCGCACTCTCCAGACCCACGGCGCTGCGCTTCTCTAGCGCCGCGTGGACCCCTGGGGTATCTACAGTCGGGGCGTTGAAGAAGGATCCTTTTGCGTTGGGGAGGGGCTCGGTGTTCCTTAATTGTTCCACACCTTGCCGAATGTTCTCCTCAAGTTTTCGATGGGAAGTCGAAGTTGAACGTATGGAAAAAAGGGGCCTCGCTCCTGATCTATAGGGTTTCTTCGGTCAACGCCTCGACTGTATTCGACTCTTCCACGGGGCTGGGCCTTCGCCCCGAGCCGTTTCTGTCCGACCGCCCCCGGGGCCCGGCGAGGGCGGCGGCCTTGAGACGGGGGCCAAATGCAAACGGAGGTCAGTCAGAGAGCCGGACCTTGCAGGATATCCTGCAGGGCCAGGGCCGCACTGATCCGGGCTAGCGTGCCGCCGGATCCTGCAGGGTCCTGCAGGATCCTGCAGGTCCTGACCGAGCTGGGCCCGGACCCGGACGTCCGACGCCCCGATGTTTGTGTTCGAGGCACCGGCCCCCGACCTCCCGACCGCTTCCCCGGGACTGGCTTTTCATACCGAGCCGTTTTCTGGCGCAGCCCGGGGGACCGGCGGGGGCCCGGAGGGGCCGACAGCGACGAAGAGCCTCAGTCTCGATCTTGTCGCGACGCCCGAGGTCTATAGGGATGGACCCGGGTCAGTAGATTGAAGTCGGGCGCGTCCCTCTACAGGAGGAATATTCAAACATGGTTTCAAAACATGGCCCGGGGAGGCACTTTTGAGTAGTTCAGAGCATTCAAAATCTTTTGAGATACAAAAATCAATCAGCGTCCAAAATCACCCTGTATAGGGAACAGGCCCGACCTGAGTAACAGTAGGTCCCCGACCGCACGTCGACACGAAACCCTCCGCCGACGCTTTGGCCCACGGCGCGAGGAGGTCCCTCCGCCGCCCCCGCGCCTCCGCGCCCGATCCTCTATCCTCGATCCGCGATCCTCCTCCTCGATCATCAATGGTCCTCGATCCTCTTCCCTCCTCCCTCCTCCCTCCTCCTTCCTCCTCCGCCGACGCTTTGGCCCATGGCTTTGGCCCCTCCGCCGCTCCCGCGCCTCCTGCGCCCGCCGCCCCATCTGCCCCCGCCGGCGGGTGTCCCAGCGTCGGCCGCCCAGAGTCGATGTCCCTGCCCGCCGCCCCGGAGCCGCGCCCCCCGAGCTCTGGAGGAGCGGTGTATGGCCACCGTTCCCCGAGCCCCAGTGGGGGCCACGGCTCCTCGATCCCGCAGAGAAGGCTGACCTGAGCAGCCGCAGCAAGAGCCCCTTCGAACCTCCCCCTCGAGCCACCATGGCTACGGTTCACCTCGTCTCCTTCTCCGCCTCCACCTCCTGCTCCTCCATCCTCCCCCCTCCACCCACCTCCACCTACACTTCATCCTCCTCCTCCTCCTCCACCTCCTCCGCCACCTCCTCCTTCTCAACCTCCTCCTCCTCCTCCTCCACCTCCATCTCCTCATTCCTATCCCTCCTCCTCCTCCTCCTCCTCCTCCTCCTCCTCCTACCCCTTCTCCTCCTCCCTCCTCGCCTGTAGGAGTTTCAATCGATGTTCTAGGCTATATCCCCTTTGGATTGTTTCCTTTCTTGCTTTATGTGCACTGTCTCTAGTGTCTTTGTGTTTGGCTGGCCAGTGGAGCCTTGGGCCGTGATTTGGCGTCCATTCCTCTCCCTCGCTCGTTCCCGCCGTCTGCCTCTCTCTCTTGTTCTCTGTCTCTGTCTCTCTCCCTCTCTCTCTCGCGCCGTCTTGTCCTTTCCGTGTCGAATCTAGGGCTGACAGAACTGTAGGGGAATCTCATATCATCGTGCACGCCTATATCCGGTGCGGCGTGTCCTCTTCTCCTCTCCTCGTTCTCCCCCTCTTTAGCCGCTGTGTTTTTTTGTACTGCATTCTATAAGTGGCCTCTTGGGCCGCAGGGGATATCCGCACAGCGCACTTGCCCCTTCTCCTCCCCCCCTCCCTCCTCCGTTCCGAGCCTCTCGGTGCGACTCGGGGTGAGCCAATCGTTCCAATTCCGTTTTATGGGCCATAGCTCTTGCTGCCTGCACCGATGTAGGGCTTCGTGCGGCAGGGAGGCGTTATTTGTCTGACCAGGCGTATCACCGTGTCTGTGGCACTGCCGCCTTGCTGGATCACCTCAAGCGTATAATGGTTGATGTGTGGCTGTGGAAAAACTCATTCCTCCACCCTCCTGTGTACTCCAGAGCAGCAGACGCAGCGCTTGCGCTGATAGCGACCACGGCGACGCGAACGACGACGACTCACGATTACGATGTTAGCGACGACGGCGACGCGGACGACGACGACTCACTGGCGCTGACGCCGCGGATGACGACGGTGGCGACGATTGCGACGGCGTCAATCCGGAGGCCTGCGAACGGGTGAAGGTGCCATGCTTGCTCAACCTCGCGGCCTGCAAGTGCCAGCAGGAGGAGCCACTCGGGCCAGTGATCTCCGTTCGCCGTGTTTTCATGCTCTCCCCCATTATCTCTGTATGTGCGGTCGCTCTCTCTCTCTCTCTCTCCCTCTCTCTCTCTCTCTCTCTCTTTGCCCCTCTCCCCTCATGTGTGTGTGTGTGTCTGTTTGGGCATACATGTTTTCACATATCTCCAGTGGGGCGCGTGCTCGCATTATAGATGTACTGTATATCACGTGTTGCTTCTACCTCTATGTTATTGTATATATGTATGTAACGCTGTGGATATGGCCCGTATTTCTTTTGTTACCTGTTATAGTTCGATGTAGATATGCGTCCTGGAATATTTGTTATGTACCTTATTTGCACATGTAGATACAAGCGTGTGTCACTCGTATATGCACATGTATGTAACTATTTGGATAGACTCTCTTTCCCGATAGTTCGTCACGTCTCTATTCCAATGTATTGTGTTTGCTGCATGTGTCTATGTATGTGTCCACACGCGCACACACATGGACATACAAACGTATGTACCAGTATACACATATCTCCGTTCTTGGGGGGGGGTCTGGAGACTTTCTCGTCTCCACGGCTGGAATCCCTATGCATCCTTTCTCTTCCGTCCCCGTCCTCTTCTTCCTCCTCCGTTTCAGCTTAATCCTACCCCACCCTTCTCATCTTCTTTCTCCCTCTATGTCCTCCCTTCTCCTGATCCTCCTCGCCAGTCGTCCTTCTTCTGTTCCTCCTCGTCCTCCCTCCTCCAGGTGTTGCCCCATCCGCCCTGGGCCCCAGAGGAGTGGGACGAGGTGCTCATGAACTGCCGTCTGGCGCTAGAGGTGGACCCTCGGCTCGTGAAGGCATACTACAGGCAGGGCCTGGCCTACACGGCACGGGACGAGTTCGACCTCGCCAAGGAGGCCCTGCTGAGTGCCCACGAGATCGAGCCGAAGAACGCAGAGGTGCTCGCGTCCCTCAGGCAGCTGAAGGAGAAGAAGGAAAAGTACAGGGCCCGCAGGAAGGAGGTGGCCAGGGAGATGATATCCGGAGCTGCCGAGGAGGACGCGGAGGCGCCCGGGGCCGCTGCGAAGGCGGCCTGCGCGCCGCGTTCGAAGTCCCTGCCGTCGTTGTTGTCGTTGCCGCCGCCGCCCCGCAGGGCCTTGGGAGGTCTGGGTCGCAGGCCGGACGCTCTCAACGACATCGCTCCTGCCAAGATCAGTACACTGCTTGGTGTTAGCGGCCTAAGGGGGGCGATGGATCTCTCCATGGTGATGATGAGGATGAGGATGAGAGTAAGGATGGCATTGAGGATGAGGATGAGGATTAGGATGGTGATGCTGCCTGTGATGGCGATGGTGATGGTGATGATGACGACGAGGATGATGGTGGTGGCGGTGGTGGAGTTGATGATGGTTGTGATGATGATGATAACTCTTCCGCTGTTGCTGATGATAAAAGTGCAAATGATAATGGTGATGTTGCTGGTGATGAGGATGAGACTGATGATGATGCTGGTGATGTTAATTATGATGATGTTGATGATGCTTATGCTGCTTATGCTGATGATGATGCTGATGCTGATGCTACTGATGAGTACGATGATGGTGCTGGTAATGATGATGATGATGATGATGATGATGATGATGATGATGATGATGATGATGATGATGATGATGATGATGATGATGATGATGATGATGATGATGATGATTATCATCATGATCATGATGATGATGATGACGATGATGATGATGATGCTGATGATGATGATCACGATGTTGATGATGATGACGGTGATGATCATGACAATCTACGATGATGTTGCTGATGATGATGACGGTGATGATGATGCTGATGCTGATGATGATGCTGATGCTGATGCTGGTGCTGATGATGCTGATGATGATAATGACGATGATGATGCTGCTGAAGATGATGGCGGTGGCGATTGTGGTGGTGATGATGGGAATGGTGATGGTAATAGTGAGTGAGTGTATGGTGATGCTGATGCTGAATGTAAGGAGGAGGAATTGGATAATAAGGGGGATGAGATAGGAGAGGACGAGGAGGAGGAGGAGGAAGAGGAGGAAGAGAAGAGGGGGGAGAGGAGGCAACAGGGCGGAGGGAGGAGGTCCCAAAGAGATATGAGAGAGGAGCGAGGAGGAGAAGGAAGGAGGAGGATGAGGAGGAGGAGGAGGAGGGAGAAGGGAGAAGGGAGGAGGCGGAGGAGTCAGGAACCAGGAATCATAATAGCTGCGAAGCAACATCCAGATCACGGAAGGGAAAGCGGAGGGAGGCAGGAAGGGAGTCGGGCGGGAGGACGGCATGTGGAGGGAGAAGGGAAGCAGGCTCGAGGAGGGACCGGGAGGGAGGGGGGAGCAGCCGGAAGAGGGAGCGGAGAGGGAGGGGCTGCGGGAGCGCCGGGGGCGGGACCGCCAGGAACTTCAGGGGCCGTGTGCAGCGCGCCCCCCCGCGCGCGCTCGCCCCCGAGGCGCCCGAGGCCCTCGAGGCCCCCGCGGCGCACTCCCCCCTCGAGGCCCTCGAGGCCCTCAAAACCCTGCTCGCCCTCGAGGCCCTCGAGGCCCCCGAGGCCCTGCCCGCCCCCGACGCAGCCGGCTCGAAACGGGCCGGCGCGGCATCGGGCCACGGGGCAGCGGCCGCGCCGCGGCGCGCGCGCCCCATGCCGCGCCCCTCGCAGAGGTCGCAGGGCGCGGCCTCGCTCGGCCCGGAGGCCGGCCAGGAACCCGCGGGCGGCCAGCGCAAGGTTCGGGGAGCGGGCGGCGCCGGCCACGCTCGGGGCGGGGGGGGGTCCGAGGATCGGGCCGAACGAAAGGGGGGGACAGGGAAAGGGGGGGGTACGAAATCTGCTGCATGCAGCTGGTTTCGGCCCCGCCGCCGGGCCCATTCCTCGATACATGGGCGCCTCCCGGCGCCGGGAGGCGCCTGGAAAATCAGCTGCGTGAGTTGATTCTCAAACCCTTCCTTTGCTATCCCCCCCTTTCGCCCGGCCCGAGAGGAGGCGGGGTCGATGGATCGCTCCGCGTCGCCGATGCACCGACAATGGTGCCCGATGTGGAGTCGGAGCTTCTCCACGCCGGTAGCGCCGATGCATCTGCGACGTCGCCAGCGCATCGCCGATGCATCCTCGATGTATCGCGGATGCATCGGTGATGCGGCGCGACCCTCCGACCCCATCTGCATGGACCCCACGCGGATAGGGGAGCAGGCTTCCTAGCAGGAGGGTGCTTCTTAGAAGGCGTGAGCCTCGCCGACAGACGTGGGGCCAGCGCCTGCCAAGAAGCCTCCTTCTAAAGAAAAGAGGTGTCCTCCTCCCTCCACACCATTGTGCACGCCGCCAGAAAGCATAAAAGCTGAGGTCCGCGCGGATCCTCGGATCGGCGCTGGGGCCCGCTGGTGGCGCCTCTGGCGCCGCCCCAGGCGCGCTCGGCGCGCCGGGGAGGGGGGTCCGGCGCCGATCCGAGGTCTCGGCGCGGACCTCCGAGGATGCTCACGCGATTGCGTGTCCCCCTGCCGAAGGTGAGCCACTTCGACGACTCCGACGACGACGTGGCGAAGCCGCCGGGGCCCTTTGGCGGTGCCGCGAGGCCCTCGCGCCAGGGCAAGGTGGGCCACTTCGACGACTCCGACGACGACGAGGCGCAGCCGCCTCCCGGCGGCGCCGCGGCGCGCCAGAACAGGCTGAGCCCCTTCGGCGCCGCCCCGAGGGCCTCGGGGGCGGTGAGCCCCTTCGGCGCCGCCCCGAGGGCCTCGGGGGCGGTGAGCCCCTTCGCCAGTTCCCCGCGGGCCTCCGAGCCGCACGTGGTGCCCCCCGGCGGCGCCGCCACCACGGCCGTGGAGGCCGGGCCCGCCAGGGCTCGCCAGGGCAAGGTGGGTCACTTCGACGACTCCGACGAGGACGTGCGGCAGGCACGGAGCCATGCAGCCAGCAGGGGCCTCGCTGAGTTCTTATATCCCCGGCGGCCACGGGGACCTCAAGAAGTCCTGGGCCACCTCAGACTCCTCCTGGCTCCTCCTCCTCCTCCTCCTCCTCCTCCTCCTCCTGCCTTGCTCCTTCCTCCTCCCTCCTCCTCCTCATCCTCCTCACCTCCTCATCCTCCTCCTCCTCCTCCTCCTCCTCCTCCTCCCCCTCCCCATTCCCCCTCTCCTCCCCTCCTCCTCCTCTCCTCCTCCTCCTCCTCCTGCTGCTCTATTATCCTTCCTCCTGCTGTTTCCTCCTGCTTGCTTTCTCTCCTCCTCCTCCTCATCATCATCATCATCAGCCCTGAGCAGGACGACCACATCTCCCCACATCATCATCCATCTAGCATCATCAGCATCATCACCATCCCATCACCAGCAACCATCATCACCATCATCATCGGCCACGGGGACCTGAAGAAGTCCTGGGGCAACCTAGACTCCTCCTGACTCATCCGCTCCTATCCTCCTCCGGCCTCCCTCCTGCTCCACCTCTTCCTCCTCCTCCTCCTCCTTCCTCCTTCTCCTCCCTCCTCCCCTCCCCCTTTCCACCCCTTTTTTGTTATTTCTCCTCCTCTTCTCTCCTGCTTGCTCCTTCTCCTCCTCGCCTCCTCCCCTCCCCCTCCTCCCTCCTCATCCTCCTCCGCCTCCTCCTACTCCTCCTCCTCCTGATGCTCCTTCTCCTCCTCTCCTCCTCCTCCTCCTCCTCACCTGACTCCTCCTCCTCCTCCTCTCATCTCTCCTCCTCTCCTCCTCCTCCTCTCCTCCTCCTCCTCCTCCTTCATCATTCATCATCATCATCACCATCATCATCATCATCATCATCATCATCAGCATCATCATCATCATCATCCTTCACACAATCATCATCATCATCATATCATCATTATCATACTCTTTGGGACCTCCTTCTCCGCCTGTGCCTCCTCTACCCCTCTTCTCTTCTCCTCTTCCTCCTCCTCCTCCTCCTCCTCCTCCTCCTCGTCCTCTCCTCTCTCATCCCCCTTATTATCCAATTCCTCCTCCTTACACTCAGCATCAGCATCACCATACACTCACTATTACCATCACCATTCCCATCATCACCACCACAATCGCCATCGCCATCATCTTCAGCAGCATCATCATCATCATCATCATCATCATCATCATCATCATCATCATCATCGTCATCATCATCATCATCATCATCATCATCATCATCATCATCATCATCATCATCATCATCATCATCATCATCATCATCATCATCATCTCTCCTTTCTCCTCCTCCTCCTCCTCCTCCGCCTCCTCCCCCTACCCCTTTGTCAATCACTCTATTGTTCTCCCCATGTCTATCGCTATCATTCTGTTCTACACCGCAGAACGCTGCTCTACAGCCTGTAGTTAGAGCGCCACCCGCACAGCATCATTGCTATCGCTCTGGTAACCTCAAGCCCGACCAGGTCCTATACTGGCCCCGAATCTGATGAGATTACATAGCGCGGGCCACGCGCGCGTGTTTTCATCCTTTACACGCGAGCATGCGATGCTACGCGCACTCGGGGAACAGGCACAATCGCTTCTTGAGTACACAATGTCGTGCGCATGCGTGGATCCTGCAGATCAGGTTCGCTTCACCCCCATGCTACATGACGCCGTGCGGGCTACGCGCGCGAGCTGAGCAGGCACAATCCTGGTACCGTCCTGGTCAAGCGTACCATGCGGGCCACGCGCTCGCGTTCACCAGTCGTCATCAACGCCAGTACTGAGACTCGTGCATGAGTTCATACACGTGCACGGCCCAGGATGTGGACTCGGCGGACAAGTAGAGGAGCGTAGCACCTCCCCATCGCGTGATCATGGCATGCCCTGTTTAATCAAGGGGGGACTTTGCACAACGCCGGGCTACGAAGGAGTGGAGCTTTACGATCGGCTTGGCGGGCTCGTCTGATGCAGCACATCGGCGTGATAAGTGATTCAGTACATTGCTCTACCTAGCATCGTATGTTAGCCAACCTGCCCCACTCTACATGACCTTACTCGGGCATTCCATTCCTCTGTGCGATATACTGTGGCATGTGGGGTGTGAGTGCGAATGGCACTCATGCCCATAACCGCCCGACGCTCAAATTCTCACGACGCCAAGTCTTACCATTGTAATGATACGTCTGTTGTTTCTTCTGGTCATACTATCAAGTATGGTGCCGTCGTTCCATACCATCGCTCCTATTTACACCTATGCTTGCTGTGGCGTTGATACGACGAGTGTTATTGTGCATCTGGTTCAAGCTGCTACTCCACCTCCAACTCCTGCGCGGGATATCTCTCCATATCCCGTTCTTGCCGCAGGTGTTCGTACTGTGTCAGTGTCATGAATATTTCCTATGTGGTGGCGAGATGTTTGTCAGCATACCCAGACTCAACTGAATGTTGTGCTGCCACGAGTTCCCCCATGATATGTCTCGATGTTTTGTTATTGTTACTTGCGTCGGACAAGGCCACGTCCCCAGCAGCTCTCCATCACCTCGGTGAAGTACGCACCTAACTATAGTCAGTCCGCTTGGCCCCTGAAGTTTGTGTCCTGCACTGTGCTTACAAACGCCTCTGCTACCCTCGACATCTCAAATCCTTGCTGGGGATGTGTGTACGGAGTGTTCTTGGAGGAGCTGTTTCTTGGTAAGGTCCCAGACTTCCTGTGCAGTGTTTTGTGGTTGCACTTGTTCAATACGTGCTCCCCCTGACCTCTCCACTCCATCCTGCAGATCGTTTTTTCTTGTAGACAGTATTTGGGCATTGCTGGTGTCCACTACGTAGCAGCCTCAGAAGACTTCTACCAGCGAAAAAAACAACGCATTGAGTTGACAATGTGTTCGACGTCGTGGGTTGGGAGTCGACAGTCGCCCCCCCATACTTCCCCAGGACTACAGCCTGGCCAGGATTTCGATGGGAACCCAGCCGTGCGACGAAAAGCCTCCTGGACACTCGAAAACGGTTCCAAATGAATCAGTGGTTCGGCCCTCGATTCTCGAACCTTTTTGCTTCCACATTCTGCAGGCGCCAGTCATACAGTGGACTGTCTCGGGGTGTGTTTTGACCAGGCTTGGTTCCAGCCCCTTGCCCCTGCATCCTTCGGCGGCAAGCCCGGAGTGGGAGTGAGAAGGAGAAGGCCTCCTCAGAAGGCTCGGAGGTCCCCAGGGCTCCTGAGAAGTCTTCCAAGCCTCCCCCGAAGACACAAGAAACCGCTCAGAAGGTGCGAGGGCTTCTTAGAAGCCCCGCCGCCTTCTGAGAAGGTCTTCTCCGTCTCGTTTCCCCCCCTCGCTCGCCGCCGAATTTCCGAGGCGGGGATTTATCCATATCCACCGCCTGGAGGGTCAGCTTTCGGAGCCTCGGCAGGTGGTGGATATCGACATATTCGAGCCCCTGGGGGCCGACATAGATCCATATCCACCGCCCGCGTTGGGGCACCAGAGCGCCGCTTCCCAGGCGGTGGATATGGATAACTTCCCCCCTCGCTCGCCGCCGCATTCTGCGGGCGCCTGGCCCCGAGGACGTGGCCCCGCCGCCCTCGCGCCCGCTCGGCGGCGGCGGCCCGGCGCGGCCCAGCGGCGCCGGCGCCGCCGCCGAGGCCGGCGGAGGGGGCAAAACTCGGCGCCCCGAGGGGGCGCGGCCCGACGTGGCGTGCAGGCGCACAGAGGGCGTGAGGTCGAGGTCGGCTCGGGGAGGGTGCCCTCGTGTGCTTCGTGCTCGTTGGGTCTGTTCCTGTGCACCCCGGGGCGCGGTGCCCCCGGGATGCTCTGCGCGCTCTGCCCTCGCCGGGACGGGGGGCCCCGCGCGCTCGAGGGGCGCTCTCTGCCGGCCCAGGCGGAGCGCCCCTCGAGCGCGCGGGGCACTCCGTTGTCGTCTGGTCGGCCAGGAGAGAAGGGGTTGATTCTCAAGCACACGGGGCCTCTGCTTCTGGTGAAGACCACGCAGGGGATATGGAGTCGTCCCCCTTACGCAGACGAACAGACACAACAGACACACTCAGGCAAACACACAACAGACAAACACACCCAGGAGGTCCTTGTTGTGAAAAACACACACAGACAAACAGACACACACGCACACACACACACACGCACGCACGCGCACGCACACACGCACGCACGCACACACGCACACCCACAGGCACGCACGCACACACACCCACACAACACACACACAACACACACACACACGCACACGCACACGCACACGCACACACACACACGAACGCACGCACGCACGCACGCACGCACGCACGCACGCACGCACGCACGCACGCCGCACGCACGCACGCACGCACGCACGCACACGCACACGCACACACCACACACACACACACACACACACACACACAACACACACACACACACACACACAACACAAACACCCCACACGACACACAATACACACAAAACATCACCGCACACCACAACTCAGCACAGCACAGCACACCACAGCACGAAGCACAAAACAGCACAACACAGCACAACAAAACAAACACACACACCACACACACACACACACAACACACACACACACACCAACACACGCTCGCGCGCGCGCGCGCGCGCGCGCGCCCTCGCCCCAGACCCCAGACCCCCTCGAGTTGGGAAAAATCACGCCGGGATGCTTTCGCTCCTTTCGGCCCCCCGGGGGCCCTCACTGGGATGAAACACGAAGGTCCCCGGGAAGGTCTCGGGGAAGGCCCTCAGACCTCTGAGGGTCGACGCTGCGGACAAATCACGGCGTCGGGGGCTTGGGGATTCCCTCTGCAGAGTGAGGGTCCGGGGAGGCCGCGCTGGTGCCCGAGCCGGCTGCCTCGAAAGCTCCCGCGGGCGGCCGCAGGGCTGGCCGACGGAGCCCCGACGCCCCCGCCGCCGCCAGTGAGGACGCCGTCGCCGCGGGCCGCCCGAGCGCCTTCGGGCTGGGCGGCGGCCCGCTGCAGCCGCTCGGCGGCGGCCCGCTGCAGCCGCTCGGCGGCGGCCCGCTGCAGCCGCTCGGTGGCCCGCTCGGCGACCCGTTCGGGGGCCCGCTGCAGCCGCTCGGCGGCGAGCCGCTGCAGCCGCTCGGCGGCGGGCTGCAGCCGCTCGGCGGCGGGCTGCAGCCGCTCGGCGGCGGGCTGCAGCCGCTCGGCGGCGGCGGGCTGCAGCCGCTCGGCGGCGGCGGGCTGCAGCCGCTCGGCGGCGGCCCGCTCGGCGACCGTTCGGGGGCCCGCTGCAGCCGCTCGGCGGCGAGCCGCTGCAGCCGCTCGGCGGCGGGCTGCAGCCGCTCGGCGGCGGCGCCGTCCGCCGCGGGCGCGGCGCCGGAGGCCCCCGCGCCGCAGCCGCCCGCCGCGGAGGCCCCGCGGGGCGGCCGCAGGGCCGGGCGGCGGAGCCCCGACGTGCCGCCGGGCGGCGGCGGCGGCGAGGCGGCGGGGGCGCCAGGGCAGCCGGCTGGGGCCCAGGAGTTTCGCAGGGGGGGGGGGGCAGGAGGCTCGAGCAGCGGCGAAGCGCCCTGGTTTGCCTAATTATACAGTCGGGGCCCTGACGAAGGAACGCTTTTCGTTGGGGAGGGGCTCGGTGTTCCTTGATTGTCTTACAGTTTGCCGGGGGGTTCCCTTGGGGTTCCCATGGGAATCGAAGTTTAACTTGTGGAAAAGAGGGGCCTCGTTCCTTATTTAGGGTTCCTTAGGTCAACGCCCCGACTGTAGGCCTACCAAACAGCGTTCCAAGAACCTTTCGCGGCCTGCACAACATGGTCTTCGAACATGTCTGGCCGAGGCTGTCCTGTTTCAACACATCGGGCTTGTGTTCTAAGAACATCGTTTTGGCTCTTCAAACATGTCCGGGTTCTAAGAGCATGTCATGGTAGGCCTATAGGAATGCCGGGGCGGTCGGCCCCTGCTCAAGGAGGGGGGCTGGGGTAACCGCTAATAGACAAACAATGGCATAAACATAACAAACTCTGAGGTCCCCGCGGATTTCTCGGATCGGCGCTGGACCCCCCTTCCCTGGCGCGCGGAGCGCGCCAGGGGCGGCGGAGGCGCCGCCAGGGGGCTCCAGCGCCGATCCGAGAAATCCACGCGGACCTGCGACTTTTTATGTTTATGACATTGATTGTTCACCTGATAAGGGCCTTTATGGCTCATGCCATTTTGGCTCAAGCCATTTTGGCTCAAGACGGCCCAAGAGTGCTCCAAGAGTTCCTGTGGGAAGCGTATCAGGTACTGAACCTCGTCTGTCTTCTCCTGTTTGCTCGGTGGGCCGCCATGGGGAAGCGACGTTCCGAGAGGCGCGAAGCAGCCACGCGAAGTTCGTCGACGGCATTTTTTCGGCCTCGGCGGAGTGTTAGTCAGAGTCATTCTCGCCATCGTGATGACGCGCCCGCGCAGGCCGACATCCTCTCGAAACGTGACCACATCGCGGGCAGCATCACAGGATTGAATCACTTAGTGTTGCAAATCACCACGGAGATGAATGAGCTACGGACGGCGGTTCAGAGTAGCGCCCATCGTTGTGGAAAACTAGCAGATCAACTTACTCTTCTGGGCAGGAATGTGCACCAACGTTCTGCTCAACTCTCTCAGGATCTCGCGGCTGCGTTTCGTGAACAGGACACGAAGATCGCGAACGTGAGACGGGAATTTCTTGCAGCGCCTGCCCAGTTCATGGACACCGAAGGCGCATCTCCCATTCCCAGCCTGCAGCACAAGTGTGACGAGATAGAGTCCCATTTGAAGGAGCTCAAGGGAGCGCAACAATCGTCAGCGGCACAACTTGCTTCGATTACGGCTACTACGTCCTCATCGGCTACCGGCTCCAAGGCGCCCGTTGCATCTGCCGTTCGTGCCGCATCTTCTCGTCAATCGACCTAGGAGCGTGCCCATCGCGCATGCCATAGCATTGCATTCCATAGCTGTGTCTAGCTGAGCCTACCACTGCACGTCATGACGTAACATTGCCTGGCATGGCATTGCATATCATGGTTTATCGTGGCGTACTATGGCATTTCAATGCTATTCATCGAACATCGCCGTACTGTTCTGCGCAAGAGTAAACCAACACGCAAATATCACACCCCCGTTGGTGTTCTTACTGCCGTCCTGTTGAGTTTAGCCTAATAGCTCATAACAGGGCATAGCATTGCATTGCATTGCAAAGCCAGGCACGTAGGGTCTGTGCATACCATTTAACGCGGTAGCACCGTTTCTCACAGGAAACATGGCATGACATGGTGCAGCGTATCATACGATATATGACACTCGCATTTCACAGCACAGCAAGGCTTGGCATGCGATGCGCACTGTAGAGTATATGATGTGCTTGTTGCAGTGCATACTGCATCGTGACATTGTGCTTTATAGCGTAGCATGGTGTACCATGGCATTCCATAGCGGAGTGCAACATGGCGCTGTAGCGCTGCATGTCTCCTGGTCCAAAGTTTGGCGACATATCACCGATCGACCGGTCGATGAGAGCGGAGCAGGAGGACTGAGGAAGAGTCAGGCGGAAACAGAGAATGCTGACCTTATTATTTATGACCGCCTTGTTGTCTCAATGTGGTCAGCACTCGACCAGCTAGAACGTAAGCGAGCGCGATGCGCGCGATGGTTTTAGGGTGTATATATATATACATGTACATATAGATACATACATTGATGCATACTCCTCCTCCTCCTCCTTCTCCTCCTCCTCCTCCTCCTCCTCCTCCTCCGGCGACGACGCCAACAATGCTGACGACAGCGGCGACGACAACGACCCAGGAGGCCCCAGAGCCCCGCAAGTCCGAGGGCTTCGCCTGGGCCGCGGCGATGGCCGAGGTCGAGCAGAAGCAGCGGGAGCCCAGCCCCAGGCCTTCGGCACTGGCGCCGACGCCCAGCCCCAGGCCTTCTGCGACGACGACGGCGACGAGGTCCAAGGATCCAATGTCTAGTTTTCCAGGTGCTTGGGGTGTTTTGCTCTGCCTCTGGGGAGCCGGCTGCGACGCCGACGACCCCCGACGACGACCGGCGACGCTCGGCCCAAGGCCTTCGGCGCTTGCGCCGTCGCTCGGCCCCGGGCCTTCGGCTGGGCAGGCACTGGCGCCGACGCTGGCGCCAGTGGCTCAGGCGCAGCTCGCGCTTCGTCGTCGTTGTCGGAGCGGGGGTGAGCAGCAGGCAGGAGGATGCTTGCGTTCGCGCTTGGAAGATGATTGGCCGTCGCAGGCCCACGGGGGCTTCCAGAGGCTTCTCAAGGCCTCCTCAGGGTCAAGATTCATCAGATTCAGGTGGAGTCGGTCCCATCCCAGACCTACCCTGGACGCGTGAGTAGCAGGGTCCCTCCTCTCCCCCCTTCTCCTTCTCCTCCTTCTCCTCCTCCTCCTCCTCCTGCTCCTCCTCCTCCTCCTCCTCCTCCTCCTCCTCTCCCCCTTTTCCCCCCTTCTCCTTCTTCTCCTTCTCCTCCTCCTCCTCCTTCTCCTCCTTCACCTCCCCCTCTTTCTCTTCCTCCTCCTCCCCCTTGTCCACCTCCTCCTCTTCTTTTCCTTCTTCTCCTCTCCTCCTCCTGCTCTCTCTCCTCCTCTCTCCCCCTCCCTCTCCTCCTCCTCGCTCTCCTCCTCCACTCTCCTCCCTCCTCTCTCCTCCCCTCCTCCTGCCCTCCTCCTCCTCCTCCTCCTCCTCCTCCTCCTCTCCTCCTCCTTCCTTCTCCTCCTCTCCCCCCTTCCCGCCTTCCTCTCCCCCTTCTCCTCTCTCCTCCTCTCCTCCTCTCCTGCTCCCTTCTCCTCCTCCTCTCTCCTCTCATCTCCTCCTCCTCTCGTCTCCCCTCCCCCTTCTCTCCCCTTTTCTCCTCCTCTGCTCCTCCTGCCCTGCTCCTCATGCTCCTCCTGCTCTTCCTCTTTCCTCCACCTCCTCCGCTCCTCCTGTTCTCCTCCTCCTCCTCCCCTCCTCCTCCCCTCCCCCCTTCTCCTCCTCCTCCTCCTCAATCGTCCTTTCTCCTCCTCCTCATCCTCCTCCTGCTCCCCCTTCTCAGTATTATTATTCTTATTCTTCGTATTATTATTATCATTATTATTATTATTTATATTATTATTCTTATTAGTCTGATTATTCTTCTTATTCGTATTATTATTCTTTTTTCTTATTATTGTTATTATTCTTCTTCTTCGTCTTCTTGTTCTTCTTATTCTTCTTCTTATTCTTCTTATTATTCTGCTTCTTCTCCTCCTCTCTCCTCTCTCCTCCTCCCTCCTCCCCTCCTCCTCCTCTCTCCTCCTCCTCCTCCTCCTCTCCTCCTCCTTTCCTCCTCCTCCTCCTCCTCCTCCTCCCCTCCCCTCTCCTCCCCGCTCTCCCCCCTTCTTCCTCCTTCCCCTTTCTCTCCTCTCATTTCTCCTCCTCCTTTCTCTCTCCTTCATCCTCTCCTCCTCCCCTCCTCCTCCTATCCCTCCTCTCCCTCTCTACCCCTCCTTCTCCTCTCTCCTCCTCTCTCCCCTCTGCTCTCCCCCTCCCTCCTCCTCCTTCCCCCTCTCCTCCTCCTTCCTTCCTTTCCTCCTCCTCCTCCTGCTCCTCCCTCTCCTTCCCACCCCCCTCCTCACCTCCTCCTCCTCCTCATTCTGGCTTCTCCTCCCTACCTCTCCTCCTCTCTCCCTCCTCTCCTCCTCCTCCTCTCCCCCTCCTCCTCTCTCTCCCTCCTCCCTCCTCCTCCTCCTCCTCCTTCTCATTCCCTTTCCTCCTCCTCCTCCTCCTGCTCCTTCTCCTCTTCGCCCGCGCCCGATAGGACTGTGCTCTGAAATCTGGCGCCGGGCCCCGCGGGTCTGCCCTCCCACACCCGCAGCCCATCGAATGCCGTTCACGCGTGCGGTAACTGTCGTGCTGCTTTCGGCTTTGGTGCATCGAAGCCTTCAGCAGCGCACTCGGAGGCCTGTCTCTGCGGCGCCGCCTTCTGGCGGTGGCGCGCGTCATCTGCCCAGGTGGACGGATGCAGCCATGGAGTCTCTGGGACCGTGGGGGCGGACGGCTGCTCGATGGCCTTGCTCTGCGGCCCCCCCCCCGCCAAGGGCCAGCTTGCCGCCACATCGGCCGTCGCCGTCCCTGGTCGCAGCCGCAGTCCGTCTTGCAGGTCTTCGCGCCCGCTGCCTCCGCAAACACGCCCATCCTTCGACTTCCCTCACCTCCTCCTCTTCCTCCTGCTCCGCCTCCTCCTGCCTCCTCGGCCGCCGACTCCTCCTCGGGCTCCTCCGCCCCCGTGCGCCCTCAGCGCCAGGTCCTGCATTCCCGCCTTGTCTGGCCCCATCACTCCTGCGAAGTCATTATGGCCCACTCCTCCTCCTCCTCCTCCTCCTCCTCCTCCTCCTCCTCCAACTCTTCTCCCTCCCCCTCCTGCTCCTCCTCTCCCTCCTCTTCTTCCTCCTCCTCCTCCTCCTTCTCCTCCTCCTTCCCCTCCTCCTCCTCCTCCTCCTCCTCCTTCTCGTACTCCTCCTCCCTTTCCTCCTCTCCTCCTCCTCCTCCTCCTCCTCCTCCTCTCCTCCTCCTCCTCCTCCTCTCCCCCTCCTCTCCTCCTCCTCCTCCTCTCTCCTCCTTCCTCCTCCTCCTCTCCTCCTCCTCTCCTCCTCCTCCTCCTCCCCTCCTCCCCCTCCTCCCCCTCCTCCCCTTCCTCCTCCCAGCCCTCCTCAAGCACGAGGGGCCCGAGCCCCGTAGTACCATCTTTTGGCTCTATTGTGTTCGAAACTCCCGCCCGGTGCCTCCACGTGGCGCTTGAGGGGCACGCCTCACGACTGGAGTTCAGCGGTTTTCGTCGGCTTCTATCAGGTAGGCGTTGGCAAGATCTGTGGAAATCAGTTCGTTTTCGTGGAAGACCTGCTCTTCAAGCTCGGCATCCGGACAGTGCGGGATGAGCCCGGAGCGGCTAGCATTCAGCATTCCCCCGCCGTGGCTGCCGTGCGGGACGAGCCATGGTGTTGCTAGCATTCCATGGCGGTCTATGCCAGTCTGTAAATCGTAGAGTTTTGGCGGCGAGGTCAACTATTCCGCTTCACCGTCTATTCTTAGGCGTCTACTGTATGGGCTCAGCTGCTACTGAGTGCCGCGGTATCCACCGACTGGACTGTCTGCAGTTGGTGGCTTCCCTCGTTCATTCAAGTTCGCCCTGGTTTTGGTGCTGAGTCTCTGTCTTTCTGCGGGTCGAGCCCTGGTTTGGCGAGCATTTCCCGCCGCGGTTGCAGTGGAGGTCTATGCCAGTTGGTAAATCGTGGAGTTTTGGCTGTGATGTCAATCCTTCTGCTCCACCTTCACCTCTCAGGCGTTTGCTGTATGGGCCCTGCTGCAATCGTGCGCCTCGGTATCCACAATCAGGTTGTCTACGTTTGGTGGCTTCCTCGTGCATTTCACGGCCTCTGCATGTTTGTAAATCGTGGAGTTTCGGCGGCGACTCAATGTCTGCTTCACCGTCTTTCTCTGGCGTCTTCTGCAGGGGCTCAGCAGCTCTAGCCGCTTCTGTATCCACAACTGGATTGCATTGCAGCGTTCAAAGTTCAGTTATAAGTGCTTGGGGCGTGCTGCGGGCTTCTCCTCGGGACATAGTTGTGTATCTGTTTCGCTACCGAGGCTGGTGGTGGTCTTGGCGATCTCTTCGGGAGGTAGTTCGACGACCGCGCCACTGTGCGCGACGAGAGCCGTGTCGAGTCAGCATCATGCCAGCTCAGAAGGTGGAAAGGCATTTCTTCCGTACTTGGTGGTCGGGAGTCCATTTTGCAGAAAGCTTCAATTCAAAAAAGAAGTGTCACGTTCTGGAGTATGGAGTTGTGGGCACGTCCGTCGCTTGCATTGTTGGAGGGAACCTCCTCCTCGGCATCATACGGCGGGAAGTGCGCGTCGGCGACTTCACCTCGTGAGTGGGACGTTCGCGACGGGTCTCTCGAGTCCCGCACCCTATTGCAGGTGACTGAGTTAAGCCATCATATCCCTACGGGATGGCGGAGTTACTGGAAGATCCTCCTCCTGGCCCTCTTTCTCTTCCTCCTGCTCCTCCTGCTCCTCCTGCTGCTTCTCCTCCTCCTTCTCCACCTCCTCCTCCTCCTCATCCTCTCTCCTCCTCCTCTCCTCTCCCCCCCTCCTCCTCCTCCTCCCCTACTCCTCCTCCTCTCATCCTCCTCCTCCTCCTCCTCCTCCTCCCCTCCTCCTCCAGCCTCCTCCTCAACCTCCTCTCCTCCTGTCCTCCTCTCCTCACCTCCTCTTCCTCCTCTCCTCCTCCTCCTCCTCTTTCCCTCCTCCTCTCCCTCTCTCATCTCCTCCTCCTCCTCCTCCTCCTCTCCTCCCTCTCCTCCTCCTCCTCCTTCCTCCTCCTCCCTCCTCCCTCCCCCTCCTCTGCTCCTCCTCCTCCTCTCTCTTCTCCTCTCCTCCTCCTCCTCCTCTTCCTCCTCCTCCTCTCACGTCCTCCCTCACCTCCTCCTCCTCTCCCTCCTCCTCTCTCCTCCTCGTCCCCTCTTCTACTCTCTTCCTCTTCCTCCTCCTCCTCCTCCTCCTCCTCCTTCCTCCTCTCCTACCCCTCCTCCTATTCCCCTCCCCCTTCCCTCCCTCTCCTCCTCCTCCTCCTCCTCCTCCTCCTCCTCCTCCTTTCCCTCCTTCCTCTCCTCCCCTTCTCCTCTCTCCTCCTCCTCCTCCTCCTCCTCTTCCTCCTCCTTTCCCCCTTCCTCGTCATTCTCCTCCTCCCCCTCCTCCTTATCTTCCTCCTCCTCTTCCTCCTCCTCCTTCTCATCATCATCATCATCCCTTTCCTCCTCCTCCTTGTCCACATCCTGCTTATCATCATCATCAGCGTCCTCATCATCGTTAGCATCCTGATCATCACCATCAACACCATCATCAGCAGCATCATCCAACTCATGATCAGCATCATCACAATCACCATCATTACCACCATCATCATCATGGTCATCATCATCAACATCATCATCACTACAACCATCACCATCACCATTAGCATGGCCGTCATCATCATCATCATCATCATCATCATCATCATCATCATCATCACCACCACCATAATCATCAACATTGTCCGTCGCCATTTTGGCTCAATCTGTTTCTCCATAGCTTCTCGCAGGCGCCCCCCCGCTGTGCAGCGGCGCGCGGTCTGGAGATGCTTGGCAATGGCGACGTGGGGCCGCCCGCAGGCGCACGGGCGGAGCGGCCCAGCACGCGCAGCACGCAGCGCCTGAAGGAGGCGGCCGAGATGGGGGCGTCCGCGGCTCGCCCAGCTGCGCGGGCGCGGCGCCACCTTGCAGCAGAGGCCGCGGTGCGGGCGCACGCGAGAGCCCGCGGAGGCCCGGGTTCCTGGCAGGACCGAGAAGCGGCGGCTCGGCAAGCCCTCCGCAAGGCCGCCGCTGGGCAACAGGTCCCTGGGGACGCTCGGAGGCGGCGCAACGCCGCATGGCACGCAGCGCGGGCCCCCCAGGGCTGTTTGTCTGGCTCCTCGAGAGCAGGCCTCGCTTGGGCCGCGGCGGGGCCCCGCCTGGGGCCGGGAGGCGCCATGGCCTCAGGCGCTAGGCGCGGCGCGGCGGCCTCGAGTCCCCTCGCCGTGTGCTTCAAGGACTCCGTCGTCGCTAGCGCGGAGGATGGCAGCGAGCAGCTGGAGCCTCCAGAGGGCAGTCCGCGGGCGTGCTTGCGTAGGGAGCTCGGGCGCCTGCGAAAATTGGGGCCAACAGCGGTCCTTGGGGAACCCAGACATTGCGGACGTTGGCGCGAGGCCGCAAACATGCGGGTGGCCGAAGCCGGCCACCCTGGGCCGCGGATGTGCGGGTGGCCGAAGCTCTAGGGGAGAGAGGCCCCTCGTCGGCGCCGGGGCGCGGAGACGTCCTTGGGGAGCCCGCTGCTGGGCAGACCCAGAATGGGGGGGAGGCGAGTTCTGGAGCAAGGCCGCAGACGTGCGGGTGGCCGAAGCCCTGGACCGACTGGACCGAGCTCAGCCCCATTCCAGGGCCACGGACGCGTGGGTGTCGAATCCCCCAGGATGAGGCCCCCCCCCAGCGGCTGGCGTCCGGGCGCGGAGGCGTCTTGGGGAGCCCAGTCTGGGGCAGACCTTAGAAAGGGAGGGGGGGCGAGCTCGTGCTCGAGGCCGCAGACGTGCGGGCGGGCGTTTCTCTCGACCGAGCTCAGCCTCCGCTCAAGGCCGTGGACGCGTGGGTGGTCGAGTCTCCTGAGCCGAGCACCCCCTCCTAGGCGGCGGACGAGAGCCTCTGCAAGGACAGGACGGAGGACCATGAGGGCAAGTGCAAGTTCGGCTTGGACCTGGACGAGGACGGGGGCTTCTTCGAGGACGGGCTGGAGGACCCGAAGGGCCGGTACAAGCGCGAGGTCGGCCTGGCCCTGGGCGCGGACGTGAGCGCGTGCGAGGACAGGCTGGTGTGCGACGGTCAGGGCGGCGGCACAGGCTTCCTGTCTGCGCGCGAGCCCCTAGAGGCGGGGGCCGCCTCTCGGACCGCCCTCGTAGCGGCCAGCATCCTCCTGGGGGTCCCACTCGAAGCCCCGTGCCAGCTCGCGGGCGCCGCGGGCTGAGTCGCCGTGTCTGCTCGGGTGCCGTCGTTCTGCTGGCCCCGGCTGAGGCGGATACTTGCTCCTGTCACACAGGCGAATCTGCGCGTGTGCGCCGAAGCGCACGAGACTGGGCGTTGCTTCCGCAGGGCCAAAGGGGCACGCCTCGGTCCGAGGGGCAGTACGAGCTAGGAGCTCCGGCCCCCTTTAGCCGCAAAGGCCATCATCAGCATCAGCACCAGCACCAGCACCAGCATCATCATCATCATCATCATCATCATCATCATCATCATCATCATCATTGTCATCAGCACCATCATCATCATGATCCCCCTGCACCTCCTCCTCCTCCTCCTCCTCTTCCTCCCGCCTGGGTCTCGTGGTCAGCGAGCCATGCTTGGAGTTCCCCCCCACATGGCGCCGTCCGCTGCGCCAGAGCCACAGACCCCTTGTCCAGCGCCATGTCATTGTCGCGGACTCCGTGCCTCAGCGCCCCGTATTCCGCATAGGCGTCTGCCGGCATGCGGCCCCGTGCGCATCTGCCGCGGTGGTGTGTGCGCGCATCTTGGTGACACCGAGCGCGCACATGGGCGATCGAGGACCGGCTGTCAACGTTTGAGGGTGTCCGCCTCGCCCTGGCAGTCTATGTACAGGGCCGTCCATGTAAGCCATGACGACACTGGGCAACATTGCGGTTGCATGGTCTTCCCCATCCCGCGAAGGTCTGGCTCGGTGCTCAGGCTAAAGGCGATAGGCCCGAAGCGGCCGCCACCCCGTTGCATTGCCAGCGCGATCTGTCTGGACCAGTGCCCAGCCCAGTCGTGGACATCGAAGTTCCCACCAGAAATAGCCCTGCATGCTTGGGCTGTGGACCCTCATACGTTGGCCCTGCATGCTGGGGCTCTGGGCCTTCGCGTGAGTTGAGACAGCATGCTGGGGTGCTGACCCCTCATGCGTTGAAGTGCGTACTCATGCTGCGATTTTGGCCCCTCAAGCGTTGAACTACTCGCGCTGGGACCTTGGCCCCTAATGCGTCGCCACACTCATGCTGCAGCGTGGCCTCGCATGCCGGGGGTTGGGCCCTTCATGCGCGCATGCTGCTGGTTTGGCCCCCTATGCCGTAGCAAGCATCCGAATCCCCCGCCCTCCCTGCGGGGTCCTGACGCCACGAAGAGGCGCCACTGGGCCACGCTAGCCCGACTGCTGCGGTGCCGGCCTCGACGCAGGACAGGCACACCCCTGGCAACACGATCGCTGGAAAGCAGTCCCAGCAAGTTCATTTCCCCTTGTGATCGTATTCTTTTTCGTTGTTTCGCCGATCGGCGCGGGCCCTCGCACCCCCCACTTCCCCCTCCCATGGAGTAGATTTTGGCTGTTTCTGGCGCTTGTTTCGAGCACAGCCGGCCCGGATTAGCAGGTCGACCCTGCCAAATCAAAGGTACCCTTGTGTCCTGTGTCTCGCGACCCATGCTTCCTACATTCCTATGGCAATGTGGCCCTCGGGTCTTTTGTCCTCTCGCGTGTCCTGCTCCCCCATAGAACGCAGTGCTGCAAATATCCGCAGTAAGCAGAGGTCCGGAGCCAGACCCCCTCCCCTCCCCTCCCCCATTCTGCCCATTGTCGAAACGCCGAATCAGAAATCGTTCACCTTCAGGGTGCCACCCCCTGGAGCCCATCTTCAAGTGGGTCGCTAAGGAGGGCCAGGTGAGGAGGGAGGGTAAAGACATCCGGTCAACAGACCAGTAGGGCTGGACAGTCTGAAAGAACGTGGTGTGAGACCCCTGAGCTGGTGCTCTCCTGTAGAGGTCCGCTGGTATGGTACCCTCTTCCCTGGTTCGGGCACCCCACGTCCGTTCAGACCCTCGAACCCAGCAGCAAATCCGTGCCAATCTTGGCCCCTCCCTTTTTGTCAGTGTCCTTCTCATCCTCTTCCCCTCTCCTCCTCATCCTGGACTCACTGCCCTCCCCCGCCCCTGGACTGATCGTTCTCCTCCTCATCATTTCCCTCCTGTCCCCTGACCCCGAACCTGTCGGCCTTGGATGCCCTAGACCTTTCTGGGTGTGCCTAGACCTCTCCATCCTCTGCCTCCCCCTTCCACTCCCTCCTTCCCTCTCTCCTCGCGCTCTACTCCTACTGCCGCTCCCCGCTCCCCATCCTCCGCCTCCCGCCGCCGCCTCCCAGTCCACCGACGACGGCGACGTCGTCGTCGTCTTCGTCGTCGTGGTCGCCTTCCGTCGTCGTTGACGCCGTCATCGTCAGCACGGCCGTCGCCGCCGCCGGCGGTGCTGGTCACGGCAGCGGTGGCCGAAGAGGCGCCGCCCGCAGAGCCCGCCGAGGACGGGCCTGGCAGGTACCGGGTGGTGTCGGCGGGTCCGCTAAAGGAGCCGCCCGCGGGTCCGCCAGGTCCGGGTCGTTGTCGTCGGTCGTTGTTGCTGTCTGCGTCGTGGTGGTGGTGGTTGTCGCGGTCGTCAGGGTGGTCGTGTCCGTCGTCATCGTCGGTGTCGTCGTCCCGTGGTCGTCTTGGTCACCTTGGTCGTGATCGTCGGCGTGGTGGTGCTGGTCGGGTCGTCGTCGTGGTTGTCTGCGTGGTCGTCGACATCGGCATCGTGGTGGTTGTCGTCGAGGTCGTCGGCGTGGTCGTCGTCGATGTCGGCGTGGTCGTCGTCGATGTCGGCGTGGTCGTTGTCGCTCTGGTCGTGGTCGTCGGCGTGTTTGGCGTTGTCGTGTTCGACGACGTCATCGTGGTCGTTGTCATCGTGGTTGTTGTCGGCGACGTGGCCGTCGTCCGGGTCGTCGCCGTTGTCGAGGGAGGGGGAGGAGGAGGAGGAGGAGGAGGAGGAGGAGGAGGAGGAGGAGGAGGAGAGGGGGAGGGGGAGGAGGAGAAGGAGAAGGAGGAGGATAAGGAGGAGGAGAAAGAGGATGATGATGTGATGATGATGATGATGAGATGATGATGATGATGATGATGATGATGATGATGATGATGCTGATGATGATGAGATGATGATGAATGATGATGATGATGATGAGGATGAGGATGAGATGAGGTGAGGATGATGGGATGAGGATGAGGATGAGGATGAGGATGAGGATGAGGAGGAGGAGGAGGAGGAGGAGGAGGAGTAAAGGAGGAGGAGAGGGGGCTACGAGGAGGAGGAGGAGGAGGAGGAGGAAAGGAGGAGGAGGAGGCGGAGGAGGAGGAGGAGGAGGAGGAGGAGGAGGAGGAGGAGGCTGCGGCCACGAGGGCGGAGCAGGGAGGAGTATGAGGAGTAGGGATCTAGCTGGATTTGAGGGGAAACAGGGTAGGGGGGGGAGTTAGAGGCGAATTAGGAGGACATGGAGGACGACAAAGAGGAGCAAGAAGAGAAGGAGGAGGAGGAGGAGGAGAAGGAGGAGGAGGAGTAGGAAGAGGAGGAGGGGGAGTAGGAGTAGGAGGAGGCGCAGCAGCAGCAGCAGCAGCAGGAAGCGGTACGACTCCTCCACCCTGGACCCCATTACTCTCTTCTCTCTCCCTCCTCCGTCCTCTTCCTTGTCCTCCGAAGACGACGAAGGAGCCGACGACGATGACGACGCCGCCCACGACGGCGCCCACCGAAGGAGCTGCCCGTGAGCGCGGAGTGGTCGCGCACGAGCGCGGCGGTGGCCCAGCTGGCCATCGGGGCCGAGGTGGAGGCGCATTCGGGGCCGCCCAGCCCTCCTGCTGCTGCTGCTGCTGCTGCTGCTGCTGCTGCTGCTGCTGCTGCTGCTGCTGCTGCTGCTGCTGCACGTCGAGTGCGGGGGGGGAGGGAGGCCCACTCCTCCCCCCTCGAGGTGGAGCAGCAGCAGGCCCCCCTCGATGGGGGCCCTTCCCCTCCGCTCTCCTGCTGCTCCGGCTTGCCCCGCCTGCTCCTCTCGCCCCAGCCCTTCCCCTGCCTCCTCCCCCCCCCCAGGCCCTCCCCCCTGCCCCGTCCAGTGTCTCCCCCCCCTTATGCGCGAGATGGGCCCGACAGGTGCTGGAGGTGTCCGGCCAGCTGGACGGCGGACGCCGGCGCGCCCGCATAACGAGCCCGGCTGGCTGGACCGCCTGGGCTTCCAACGAGGAGGACGGAGGATGGAGGACGGAGGAGGACGTTGGGAGCAGAGCAAGAGAGAGGAGGAGGACGGAGGACGTGCAGATATGAAGTGAGAGTCCCCTGTGCCCCGTCTCATTTCGTTGGATTGTCCGTCATCGCTGTGTCCCAAAGCTAGGGCCCGAGATGCGTGACCTTACTTATTGGAACTCTTATCCTGGAGCGTGGTTCATGGCAGCAGATCGGAGGTTCGCTGAGCGCGGCCCCAAAGTGGCTGGTGAACAGGTTGAGCCGGCAGACGATCGTTTACGCGACGCCGAGTGCAAACACGCATCGGGCTTCGAAGTTGTGCCGACCTTTGTCAGGAAGGCCGACGCGGCCTGCAGCCAGCGAGACGGAGAGCGAGCCGCGGCGGCCCTTGCCGCCCCGTGGGCACCGCCGGGGCTCCGCCCCCGCCGGCGCAGCCCGCGCCAGGCGCCAGGCGCGCCGGCTGGCACGCTGGCGCGGCGGGCCTTCCACAGACCCCCTCGAGTAATGAAAAAATCATGACGAGAGGTTTTTCCTAATTTTCGGCCTCCGGGGGCCCTCACCGGGCCTCGGGAGCGTCAAAAAACGACTCAGGATGCAAAGCCGGTCATGGGGAAAGGGTCGGGACCTATGGGGGTCGACGTAATGAAAAAATCATTACGTCGGGGGTCTGGGTCCGCGGGGCTTCCGCGTGACGCGGCGTTGCCGCCCCAAGCGGCTCGCGGCGCGGCGGTGCCGCCTTGGGCAGACCCCGCGCCGCCCGTGCCGCCGCAGGGTGTTTGCCGCGGCGGCGCCAGCGGCGGCGCAGCGGACGCGAGAGTGGCGGAGGCCCCTCGGGCGACGCCGCGGGCGGCGGCGCCGGCGGCGGAACAGGGGCAGACGTTAGAGACGAGCCCGAGGAGGAGGACCCGGTGGAAATAGGCGGCGACGGCGAGTGGCTGGTCAACGAGAACGGTGAGACGCTGATCCAATACGACCCAGTGGCCGAGCACGAGGAGGGAGAGGTGATCTATCCGAGTGCTCGGGCCCGCTCATGCTGCGAGGCCCGAGGAGCACTGGCGGCAGTTTGCACGTGGCGCGGCTTCTTTGGCCCGAGCAATGGCAAGGGCGAGTGCAAAGGCATGCGGAAAGGAGCTCGAACGCCGTGCGCCGGCAAGGTCTGCAACAAGAATTCAAGAGGCACCGCCGAAGATTCCCCGCGCGGCAAGCGGGGGGGGGGCGCGTCGCGCAACTGTTCGGAGCATTCCAAGGACCAGCGGCAGGGGTGCCCGAAAGCAGGCTTCTTCGCCGTGGCGCCCGCGGTCAAGCCCCTCCCCCCGTTCGCGGTGGCCGCCCCGACCGAGCAGGCGAGCCCCAGGATGCGCGCGTTCGCGGCGCCGTCGAGCCTGCGGCCCGGCCTGCTCGCAGCGGAGGGGCGAGCGCCGACGGGCCCAGGGGCGCAGAGCGGGTGCTGCGGGGAGACCGCTTGCGACAAGCGCGAGGAGTTGCTGAGTGGCCTGGGGCAGAAGCCGATGGCGCCGGCTGCGCCGCCGAGCTCCTCGCGCGGCGGTGCCGGCAGCCAGGCGAAGCCGGTCGCCGCGGCGGAGATGCCCTTCGGCATCGACGGCATCAGCGGGGCCGCGGCGGCGCGCGTCGTCGAAGACTTCGGCGGGCCGCGAGGTGCCGCCGCTGCTCCCGGCGGGCCCTGTAAACGGGCTCCGCGGCGCTCGCGACTTCAATCGCGGGGCCTTCGCTGGCCGCGAGTCTGACGTTTGGGCGAAGATGCGGCGGGCAAACGCGAGCCACTGGGGGGCCTCGACGATGGAGTCTGGCGACGGGGGCCGGCAGATGCGCGCGGCCGCGAAGAAGGGCCACGACGAGCCTGACTCCCGCGCGCGCGGCAAGGGCCACCATTCACCATGGGGCAGGGGTCGGACAAGCCAGAGCAGCCGACGATCCGCGCGAATGGGGGAGCTGCCCAAGACTGGCAATCCTGTCCACGAGGCGGAGTTGTTGAGCAGCAAATGCGCGCAGTACAACAACTGGGCCAATTTCAACAGGGCGCGGGCGAGCGCCCGCTCCAGGCTCAGGCGGGCGCCTCCTTCACCTGCCGAGTCGGCGTCGGGGCTGGTCGCGACGACCGCGCAGTGGATCCGCGCGACCGACGCAACGTGCCGCGGCGGGGCCAAGGAGACGATCCACGATGAGTCGTCTCTGGGCGCGTCTCGACTGCTCGCGAGGCCTTGGCGAGGATGCACCACCTTCTACAGCGCTGCAGTCGGGGGCCTGCGCAGCTGCGGGAATATTTCAAGCGTCGACACATTCAGCCCGTCGTCGTCGACGCCACCTCCGTCGCCCTCGAGCGCAGGCAGAAAGCGAGCGCGGGCGCAAACACGAGCCAGACACAAGAAGCCGAATATCTCAGATGATAGCTCGGCGAATGCCCAAGAGGACAACATACGTAACATTTCAGAGACCCACGAGCAGACGTGATCAGAGGTTCACAAGCTTAGAGCCCCCGAGGATAACAAGCAACCAGAGGCCGAGTAGCGAGCTAGTGAGTTTGCGAGCCACCGCGCCAGAGGAGCACAATGTTGATGGACGAGCGTCGGGATCTCGAGGCTGCCACCCCCGCTGCCGCGCTCGGATCCAGCGCGCGAGCGCGAGGCGTCGGTGACGCCGGTGTCGTGCTCCATCTCCCCGGCGCATATCGGCGCCGAGCCGCCCGCGCGGCTTCGGGCGCCCGCGGCGCGGGGGCCGTCGGCCCAGCCTCGATCCGCGAGCCTGGTCTTGGCAGCGCAGCGAGGCGCGGCGGCAGTTGTTGGCGCGCTGCCAGCGGCGGGCGCGGCTTCGCCCGCACCGGGCGGCGCGGGTCGCGAGCCGGGCGTCGGCGATGGAGCATTGGGGCCCGGCGCAGGGCGAGCGCGTGGAGATGCTTGCGCAGCAGCTCCCTCCTTCGTGCGTGGCGGTCGTAGAGGAGGGCCTGGACGAGCAGCAGTTGGCCGAGATGGACAGACCGAGGAGGCGCGAGACGCCCTTGCTCTCGCAGGCGGGAGTGGGCAAGCCCCTGGCGCCGCGCCAGGGCTGGGAGGCCAAGCCGTTGCGAGCGGCGGACTGCGGCCTCCCGACGGAGATGCTGCAGCCACTGGGTTCGGGCCCGGGCACGCGGCGGGCGCGCGACGGACGGGGCTCCCGCCGGGCGCAGACGGCGGACGAGTTCGTGCCGACATGGGCGGCGGCACCAGCGGAGTCACGGTCGCGGCTGCCTGCTTGAGCGGCCCCGGGCCGCGCAGTTGTAGAGGGCCCTTTCTCCAGGTCGCCATGCGCTTGGAGGGCGCGGAGCTCGCGCAGGCCGACGTGCGCTCGACCAGGATGTCGGCCACGGGCGACGGGCTGCTCGACATGAGGCCCGCTGGCCCGCTCATCAGCGCCCCCGAGGTGGCGCAGGTCACGCGAGAGGGCCGACGCAACGGCGAGCTCAAGCGCAGCGAACTGATCGGTTGGATTGCCATGCGCGCGCAGAAGTATTTGGAAACAGCGACGCCAGGCCATCGTCGCGCGGCTGGAGCGCCGACTTGAGCGGCGGGGCGCCGTCTCACGGTCGAACGCTTATTGCGCCGAGGAGGCGGTGCCGAGGGAGTTCTCCGAAGCGGCGTTCCTGGGGGCGCAGATCGGCGACCGCATCCTCTGCCCGGTGCGAGTGAGAGCCGACGGGCGACCTCAAGGCGTTGGATGGCGCTCGCGATCGAGGCCCCGACCTGCCCCGAGCACGCAGCGCGAGCGCGACCTCTCCAGGCTGCCGCGGGCCAGGCGCGAGCCGACCATCAGCGAGGACCCCATCGCGTTGGACCGCGACAGGATGGACTAGGACGCGGTCACCATGGAGCCCACGCTCAGAGAGCAGCGCGATCTTTCGCGCGCGCGGTCATTGGGCGCTGGGAAGCCCGAAGAACGAAGACATAGCGAGAGCTCTGCGGCGCGTCGGGACCAAGAAGCACCCCATCCTCCGGTGCGCAGCCTGCCTGGGCGAGCCGATGCCCCTGCCCGCGCGGACGTCCATGCTGCCGAGGTGCCTCGCGCTCAGCCGCGCGATCGACGTGGACTTGGTTTTCGTGCTGTGCGGACACCTCGAGCTGATGCGCCTGAACGCCGCGCGCTGGGGGGCCGATGGGACCGGCGCCAAGATGGCCGCTCGGGTGGAGGTCGGGGCTGCGGAGGGTCACAGCGGAGTTCACGAAAGTCTGGGCTGTTTTCGCAGTCGATGTCTTCCAGACCAAGCTCGGCGAGTCAGGCGTCATCGGGCGCGCCATCGGCGCGCAGAGTCCATGGCAGAATGGACGCCCGAGCGGGCTGGCCAGGTAGTCAAGCAGATCTTGGAGAAGGTCATCGAGGACCATGGCATCCTTACTACCGAGGAATTCGACATGGCGCTGGCCGCGATGGTGGAGTCTCGCAACCGCTGTGTGACCCGGTCAGGGTTCAGCCCGCGCCAGCTCGTTGTTGGCAGCTCCCGGAGGCTGCCAGGTTCGGAGCGCCTGGCGGCGCGGCGCGCGCAGCTCGAGCTGGGCAAGGCCAAGGCGCGAGCTTTGGCGGCGAACGCGCAGTCGCGCACGCAGCCCGTGGCGACCTACCGCGAGGGCGACGTGGCCCACGTGCGGGGCGCCAACAAGGACGCGAATATCAGGGTCTGGATCGGACCAGGCGCGGCGTTGACCACCCGCGCCACTTAACGAGTCATCGGAGTCGATCGCGACATGCTGAAGTGCGCGGCCGAGCCGGCGAGGTTGGCCAGCGAGGCTGGCCGCCGACGAGGGGATCGTCGGAGCGGAAGCGGCAAGCACGCTGAGCCCGGAGCCGCTGGTCCCTCTGCGGCGCGTTGGACAGAAGAGCTACGCCAACATCGCGGGCGATGGGGCCCCCCGTCGGACGGGGCCGAGGGCGCGCGGGCACCGCCGTCCGAGGCGACGGTCGCGAAGGGAGCTCGAGCGGCAGTTCCACGCGGCGCACAAGGCATCACCGCAGGCGAAGTGCTTTCCATTCTCGAGGGCATCGAGCCAGCGGCCGCGGCAGGGGACGTCCGCGGCTCCTCCATCCGACGGGGGCGCCGACGCGCAGCCGGAGCTGGAGCCGCCGCCGGCGTCGGGGCGCACAGCTTCCGCGGCGGGAACCACCAACCAGTCGGAGGCGCCCAGGCAGAGAGCGGAGCTTGCTGCATGAGCTGCCGCCCCGCACCCGAGCGCGGCCACGTCGTCGTCGGGGGCGCGCGCCACGCAGGCCGCAGGACGGCGCGCCAATGCCCGGAGGCGGCTGGTCGAGGCAGCCCTCCAGGCAGACTTCGGGGGTCGCGCGCTGCGCGGTGGACCTCGAGCGCGCCGACAGCGTGGAGGAGGTGCCCGAGGGCCCCGCGTTCTTCGCTGGGCACCCTGGCGTGCAGGACCTGAACGGAGGGGGCTTCGCCATCGAGCGAGATGGCCGCGATTTGCTACAGTGGCAGTTGGTGGCTGGCCGGCCAAGCGATCCAAGTCGGATGGCGCGGTAATTTTCGAGCGGCGGGGCGGCAGGGACCGCGATTTGTTCCAGCACGGTCGCACCGGAGAGATTCATGCACTGGTCGACTTTGAAGGCACTGCGGCCCACGTCCGCGGCAGAGCCAGCCGAGCTTGCCATGCAAAATCATGACTGCGTGCTCCCGTCCACCCTCGTGGACTGCTGGAGGTCGCAGGACGACGGCACGGCCATGCCGAGAAGCAGGCTGGCCATCCTCGGTTGGAAGGACCCGGACGTTCTGAACAGCAAGAGGAGCGCGCCAATTCACATTGCGGAGGCGTTCATGAGTTTGCTGCAGTGGCTGCCGGGCGCGAAGCACGACGCCGTGGGCAGTGACCTCCAGAGTGCGTCTGCGCAGGCCCGCTCAAGCACGAGGCAGCGCAAGCTTGCGCGAGCTCAACCCGAAGGTGACTTTCCCGAGATGAAGCCCGGGCAGCTGTGGATGTCCGAGACCCGGGCGCATGGTCTGGCGAGTGGGCGGCGTGGTTCTGGATCGCGCACGACGAGTTTTACATGCTAGGCTAGTTGCAGAACCTGCGCTGCAAGCGCTTTCTCTTCCCGAGCCGAGAGCGAGAAATCGAGAACGGCATGGAGATGCATCGGCGGAAAAGCTTAACGTTCTACGTCAAGTTCGCATTCGTCAAGATCTTGTGTGCGCGCCGGGCCAGGGAGACAGGGGCGCTGATCATCGGCCGGCGCGCGAGCCAGTTCGAGGGTTGCCAGCTCACCATTGCCATGAAGGAGTACGCCGACCAGAGGTTGGCACCGATCGAGTTGCCGCGTGGCTACCTGAGCACGACCCAAGGGCCCAAGGGGTTGATCACGAGATGGTGAACGCTGTTCGGGGGGAGGTCGGAGGTCCCTGCTGGCTTCCACGGCAAGACCAGACCTGCCAGCGGCGGCCAACATCCCCGCCCACTGCATGGCCAAGAACTCCGAGGTGACTCCGGAGGCGGGCAGCGAATCGCCGTGTCCACCGACTCGTGCACGGATGCGTCGAGGCGAGAACGTCACCAGAATAATTACCATATCGACTGGCGACGAGAGCTATGAATGTGGGACAGTGTGCCAAACAGACCATCGTGCACTGGAGGAGCGTGCAGCACACGCGGAAGGCACGGAGCCCGTGCGAGACCTGCGCGACCTCGGACGTTTTGGTCAAAAGTGTGTGGGTACAGGTGCTGTTGGAAACCAATTCCAGGGGCGGCCTCGACACGGTCAGGCATCGTTGGCGCTCGGCTCCACGGCCCGAGCCGCGACCTTGCGTGAGTCGCAATGCTGCTGATTTGCTTGCGCGTGCGCGCGTGCGTCCGACCTTGCGTGCATCCGACCTTGCGCGTTTCCAGAATTGCTGCTGATCATGTACCCGAAGGGCTTGCATGACAGCTTTGATATCGACCTGCCTGGAAGCGACAAGAAGTCCTCCGTGGAGTCCATGGAGGTCCCTTATCATTGAGGCGCCCATGAAAATCGGATTTGGACGCGCCAGGTGGACGCCTCGCGACCGCAATCCTGCGGACGCCCTGACTATGAAAACGGGCGCGCACATGGAGCCAGGGCTGGACGTGTGAAGGGCGGTCACTACCCTCTGAGGCCCACGAAAAGGATCCCGAGGCTCGCACGGTGGAAACATGAAAAGGGGATACATCCAGAGGCGCAAGGTGACGTACAACGCCAGAGGTGCTCGGAGCCCCCTTCGCTTTGGGCCGGCTTGCGGGGCACAGGGCAGGTGTGTGCTGGGCACTGCAGATATGACGTGCAAGTGCCTCGTGCTCCGTTCCAAATCGTGGGGCTGTCCGTAATCGCTGTGGCCCAAGACTGGGGCCTTCTTTGCGCGACCTCGATCATTAAAAAAATTGTCATCACAGTGGGCATTGCCAATGTGATCATCAGAAGGGGGATTTGAGGGGAGGAAGAAGGGGAGGAGCTGAAAAGTGGAAGTAGGAGAGCGAGGTGAAGAGCGATGGGAAAGAGGAGAAGGAGGAGTGGGGGGGGGAAAGACGGGGACGAGGCCTTGGAGGAGGTGGAAGGGACGGGACAAAGGTCAAGGGGGAGGGGGAAAGGAAAAGGAACGAGGGAACGAGGGAACGTGAGGAGGAGTGGATAATGACTGAAGAGAAGGAGGACAGCTCCAAACCCAAGACGCAACAACGATGTTGCGATACACCCTCCTTCCCAGTTTTGTCCGTCACGGTCCATGCCGGAATTTGTTTTCGCTGCGGGCAGTGACCCACTGGAAGACAACCGTCCGACGACCCTCAGAGCGCCAGATCCCCCATTCCTGGGAGTCCTGCGCCGCGAATCAGCACGACTGCTGCGTCTCGACAGCCGCAGATCGCCTCAGAACACCATTCCTGGGGCCTCGACCGCACGAGCTTCGTAAACCGTCGCAGAGTTTGGGGGGGGGGGGGCGGCAAATCGGCGCCGCGAATCAGCACGACCGCTGCGTCTCGACAGTCGTAGATCGCCTCAGAACACCATTCCTGGGGCCTCGGCCGCACGAGCATTCGTAAGCTGTCGCAGCGTTTGGGGGGGGGGGGGGGCGGCAAGTCAGCGCCGCGCATCAGCACGACTGATGCGTCTCGACAGTCGCAGACCGTCTCGGAACACCATTCCTGGGGGCCTCGGCCGCACGAGCTTCGTAAACTGTCGCAGCGTTTGGGGGGGAGAGGGCGGCAAGGTGCGCGGCGCTCCGGCGAGAGCCACACTCTTGCGAAGACGAAGCGCCCCCCAGCGTTGCTGCCGCTGCGACTGCTTAGAGCAAAGCTGCGCGGCTCCCACGCCGCGCCTTTTGAAAAACGAGCCGCGCCTTTTGAAAATTCGAGCCGCCGTTTGAAGACGAGCCGCCGTTTGAAAATGGGCAAGAGCCACACTTTGAGAACGAGCCGCCTTCTTCGTTCCTGGACCTGCCGCCCCGTCCTCTTGAAGCACCTGCGCCTCTGGCAGGAGCAGCGTGCTTGCCCCGCGGCAGCGCGAGGGCCGCAGTTTTTTGAGGAGACCACCCGCCCCCCACCCGCGAAGCTGGCACGGATTTCACGGGAGGAGGAGGAGGAGGAGGAGGAGGAGGAGGAGGAGGAGGAGCAGGAGGAGGAGGAGGAGGAGGAGGAGGAGGAATCGGGATCACGGACGGGCCGTAGGTCTCCAGCGCAGAGCCCCCGCCCGCCCTGCCGACATGTCTGGGGGCGGGGCGCGGCACGGAGGAGTTATACACAGTGGAGGCCCCTGCCCAGAAAAACACCCTGCTTGCCTCCGGGGTGCCCTGCCTGCCACCATGCCCAGAACCACCCTGCTTGCCTCCAGGGTGCCCTCCTGGGTTTCTTGGGTTTCGATGGTTCCGCTGTGGGAGGCACGGCGTTTCCATACCAAAAATCAATGGACGTCCTTGGGTGTCAGGGTTGGGTTTCTTGTGGGATCTTCCTTTGTAGACTGGCCTTCGCTGTGATGATAGAGGATAGACGAGGACACCGTCGGCATCGACGACGAAGATGACGACGAGGACGAGGCCCCGTGCTCGGCCATGGCCAGGGCGCATGTCTGCCGAGAGCCCCTCCCCCAAGGATCACCTTGGCGAACACGAACGGTTCCCGCTTCGCTGAGAGAGTGCCCGAGGCGCCAAAGCCGGAGGAGCCGCCTAAGTCGGCGCCGGTGGCGGACGCCCAGAAGCAGGACGCGACGGTGCGCACGGCTCTGTTGTGGCGCGCCGTCGACGACGACAAGGCGACGACGACGGCGGCGGTGGAGACGACAACGACGAGCTCGAAGAGGTTTTTCTCGATGTTCGGCCCCATGACGCCCGTTTTGGGGACCAGGACCGTCGACAAAAATTGAAGGGGGTCAACGTTTTTGAAAAATCACGACGTCGGAGGTCTGGGTGCCCAGCTCTTAAGTGGGGGGGGGGGGCTCGTCCTCCACCGAGCCGCCGAAAGTTGCAGAGCTCTGCCGCCTGGTTCTCGAGGAACGAGGAGGGAGGCTGCTGCGCGCTTTCGATAAGAAATTATGATTTCTTGGTTGTGGCTTTTGCCTCACGGGGCCTCCAGATACTTCCGGGGACCTGCGCTTCTCTGGTGACCGCTGGGGTGCAGGAGCTGCGGCGGCATCAGAGCTCCAAAGCTTACCACCTCAAGATTGCGTAAGGTGGCAAAGGTTGGCCCGGGTGTCCCCCAGCTTGCCTCAGGTAAGGCTCAAGAGAGATCCAGGGTGGTTCGTAGATGGTCCCCGGGCTTTCCAGTGACCTCCCGAGAGGCCCAACATGCATGGACAATTAATATGTCTTTACATTGGTTTTCGCCATTTCGGATTTCGATGGGCACCAGAGGAGCACGAGAAGGAGAGAGAAGATAAGAGAGAGGATGCAGGGGGGGAGAAGGAGGACGCATGGTAATCACGCCGTCGTTGCAGTCCCCATACGGTGCCTACGTTGTCGCGCTAGCCGTCTTTGCCACCGTCAACACCGTCATGTCGTCGTCCTGGTGAGCGTCGTCGCCGCCGGCGTCGTCTTCGTCTATGCCTCTTTAGCTTAGTTGCGTCGTCGCCGTCGCAAGCGGCTAGTTGCGCAAGCAGGGCGGTCAATCGAGGACACGGGGTTGTGTATTGTAGTGGTACTGCCTCTAGCGTCAGTAGCCCTGGTACCGTAAGGAGTACTAGTAGTGTCGGTGACAGTCGGCAGCAATAATAGCTGAGGGAGTAGTAGCGGTAGCTAGGAGTTGTAGCCGTAGTCGTAGCAGGTGGAGTAGCAGCAGTCGGTGCAGCAGCAGGAAGAGTAGCCGAAGTAGCAGCCCAAAGCAACATACCCCCCGTTGAAAGCTACCGCCATCGGCAGTGTTTCATGTTCTTCGCTCTCACACAGAACTCCCACCGCCGCCCCAGTACGAGCTCCAAGCGGCTACGGTCAAAGCCACACACCGCTGAATCTAGCATCACCCAGCCGGGAGTACGGCCGCCAGCCAGCCTGACTTGGCTCCATTCATTTGGTGGAATATCAGGCTGAACCCGAAGTGATAGCCTTCTTATTCCAGCTTGACCTGTCGTTCTCATGGATTTCCCAGAAGTTGCCCCCTTGTTCAACGCAGCCGCCCAGCTCCCGTGCAGAAGACCGCCAGAGGCCGCCGGATACCCCACGCGCCCGACGGCCGATGCCGGAACTCTTTGTCGACTTCTGCCTCTCTGGCCCACACCCCAGCTGTTGTGAATTCTTGACTGCGGGTTCCCCAGAACTCCCCGCTCCTTCCCCAGAACTGGTTTGGCGTCCTAGGTGTTTGCTTCATTGGCAAGGGCCCGAAACAGGCCTCCAGACACCCAAGACAGCAAAGCAATGTGGCCCGTCTTGTATGTTTACAAGACGTGCCACTGGTCCCTGGCAGACTCGAGCTCGCGTAGCTAGATACAGAGACCAGAACAGTTGCCCCTGATACCTGATATCTGGACATCGTTTGGTCCACATCTCCGACGCTCTGATCCCTCACAACATGGACCCCAGGATGTCTCGATCCCCTCCCTGGGCCCCAATGTGCATCTCGACAATCTGTTTGACGGTCCTGTGGCTGGGAAGCGGCTTCCAGAGAGGCGAAGAGCGTAATATAATTGGGCGCCACGAGCTTCTTGGTCCGCGTGGGTGCATGGGCCCCAGGCCCCGCAATCGACTTGTCCCGAGGTGTGTTCTGGCCGGAATTCTGTGTGGGGAATGCAGCCGTGGCCCAGGGGGGCGCCTCGAGAGCACCACAACACAAGGAGCAGCAGCATCCGCAGCCTTTCGGCCCTGGTCCTCAGTCCCAGGATTCGACCTCGCGTAAGAGTGACCCTTCGCCGGAGTGACCTTTGCTGCGGGCTCACCTGGGCACCCCCGACCGCTGAGCGCGATGCGATGGCAGCGGCCTGTGCGCTCAGCTTTGGCCCCTTCGCGCCCCCCGGAAGACGTGCGCCAAAGGTCACTCGGGCTCAGGATCACTCGGTCGGACGCAGAGCTCGCCACAGAGCTCCTGGCCGGCATGGCGCCGTCCCGCCGGGCGGCCGCTGCGCTGCTCGCGCTCGCAGCAATGCAGCTGTCCGCCCACGCGGGCGCCCAGGGCGCCGAGGGGTGCGCCGCGCCCGGGGCCTGCCTCGACGAGGCCGAGGTCGAGGCCGCGGAGCAGGGGGAGGCCGACGCTCTGAGGCTGGAGCTGCTGCAGGCCAAGTCGTCGGTCGCGGCGCGGGCGTCGGCGGGATCGAACGCCGGCTCGGGCGCCGGCTCGAACAGAACCAAATGGTTCGTCTCGCGCAAGGAGTGCGGAGGCGTCGCTGGCGCGCCGGGCAACGTGCTCTGGGCCGCGCAGTGCCAGCCGGCGGCGTGGGACAAGACGAAGGGCGTGAGGTACATGTGCCATGGCGCTACCATATCCGCGCAGATGTGGGATAACCAGGTTTGCGCCGGCGTCCCGGTGCTTAACAGGACCATGGCGACGGGCGAGTGCTCGGACACTGTCCAGCCAGACGATGGCGATGGGCAGGAACAGTATGAGTGCGTGTGCGGCATATATCCGATGTACGTTGTGCCTGTTTCCTCGCAGGCGTGCTAACCAGCAGAAGGGTATGGACGGACAGCTTTTGACGGCATGTGATGTTGCGCGAGAAAGATACGACGAGCAAATTGAAATGACCAAGGGATCGCAGTCAATATTATTCGGGTAATCGGCCAGCCAGGCCCAGGCCTACGCGTAAGCAGTATTGTTGTGCCCAAATTCCATGGCGCAACATCCATCCTCCCTGCGCTCTGACTCGGTTCGGGGCACTTGGGCAGGGCGGTTGCCCTCCGTTGTGGCCACGTTTGCACAAGCGGGAGAGACCCACCCAAGGAAGGCACAGGAAGATGAGCTCAACTGCAAAAAACATCTCTTGCTTAGGATCACTCTTACGTGCAGCCTACCGTGGAGGGGAGGGACGGAGGGGAGGAGGAGGAGTATCAGGGCCAGGAACAGCAGGAGGGTGATGAAGAAGGGAGGAAGGGGCCTCCCTCAGGTGCCGGCCGGAGAGACAGTAGAGCTTATCTTGTGGGGCCAGCACGCTGCTTGCGTGCATTCGAGGAATCGAAGACTCGAGCTCGCCGGAACTCGCGGGGAGATCGCTCGGCGTGCTCCGAGCGCCTGTCAGGAGAGGAAAAACAATTCAGACACAATGAATCGTCGATTCCCATGAAGATGTAGGAAAATAGGGGAAGTGGGGGGGAAGACAAAAATCCAGAAAATATCGAAACATAGGGGGAATAGTTTTATTTGTGTGAATTCATTTGTGTGTGTGTGTGTGTCCTGGGGCCCCTTCACCCTGGCCGGGCGCGGGCGCGCGAGGAGCCCGCCCCCGCCGCGGGCGTGCCCGGCGCCCTGGCCGCCGAGCGGGCGGAGCCCGAGGAGCCGGAGGACTCGGCTGCGCGCAGAGCGGCGACGACGGCGTCGACGGCGTCGACGGCGGCGACGACGACGGCGACGACGACGACGGCGCCGACGGCGCCGACGGCGGCGACGGCGGCGACGACGGCGGCGACGACGACGGTGACGACGGCGGTGACGACGGCGGTGACGACGGCGACGTCCTCAGCAAAAAGTCAACGGGCGGTGCCTGGGCATGTTCGGCACGCGGGGGCCGCGCCTCGGCGGCCGAGGGTCACTGGGAGGCCATCCGCAGTGAAGGGCTGGTCCCCGCGGATCGGCCGGGGCTTCTGGGGGGCTGCGTGTCATCGAGAGCAGAGAAACCCTTAACCCTGATTGCACAATGAAGACGTCGCCTCACTGGGGTCCCCGATTCTGAATCAGTGATTATCGATCTAGGCAGCTTGGCTTGATACATCTGCAGGAAAGGACCCCCTATCCCTAAAGTTCTGGACCTCCTAGCTTAGTCCCACTCCCATAGGCAAATGGTTTCGAAGTCTGCAGATGGTTTCGAAGTCTGTCGCGTCTGACCAGAGAGTGTTCAATGTTACGTAATTGCTAGTGTATCCTCGCTACGCGTGCTTATGCATGCCTGGTATGTTGAGTACGCCCGCTGCATGCTCACTAGTGCACCATATTATGATACTGGTGCCATGTATGTTATGCCGAGTATGCTTGTCCTGTACGCTCGATACTTGTGCACAACGAGTCCCTATTGGGGTCAGTGTTGTATGTTTTTAGCGTATGTTGTTGATGCTTGCTGTTGATGTGCGTTCGTGCTATCTGCTCTGATTGTGGGGTCTTGTTTCCTGGTCTTTGTGTATGTGTGTGGCGCGTGTTTTTGATGTGTGTGGTTGGTGTCTGTCCCTGATGCGTCTTACTTGTGCAGTCCAAAACACGGATAGCGACAGTCGAAAGCGCGTGAAACGCTTATAGGAGACGATGGCACGGGCGCTGGAAAGCATGCCCGGGGAGTTTGCAAGTTTGGGAAACGTGTGTGGGAGACGCTTGCCAGGGCGCAGGAAAGCATGCCTGGGGAGCTAGCAGGCTTCGAAAAGCACGCTCTGGAGGAGCTGCGAAGGAGCTGCGAAGGGCCTGCGGAAGGGCTGCGGGCACGCGCATTCGGAACGAGTAGGAAAACGCTTCTCGGGACACGCTGCAAGTTCAAGCGGGCCGTTGCGGGGATGCCTGACCGGGAGCCCTGGAGAGGGGCTGGCCTCCCTTGCGTTGCGGGCTTCTAGTCTGGAGCCCTCTTAGCTCTCCAAGGGGCTATCCGGGAACAGTACTCGGTGTCTGGTGTTGGTGTCGGCCCACGATGTTCGTGTTTGATGTAGTGGGTCATGGTCTGTTATCGATTCAGGAGGAAAAGAAACACACTGACACAATTAATCCTCGATTCCCCAGAACATATAGGAAAATATGGGAGGTGGGGGGGAAGACAGAAACCCAGAAAATATGGGAAAATATGGGGAGTATTTTTATTTGTGTGTATTTATTTGTGTGTCCTGGGGCCCCTTCACCGATGTACCATTTTGGTTCCCGTGGCGTCGGCCCCTACGGTTTGTTATTGGTGCATGCTCCTGGTGGACTATTTTTTGAGGTACGTCACTGGGTGCTGGTAATTAGCTATGTATGCCCGTGATGCCCGTACGTAATGTCTGCTACTGGTGCCGGCTGCCGGTAGGCCATTGATGTTTTTGGTTGTGTGTGGCCATTCAAGGGCAGAAAAACCGCCCCCTACCCTGGTTTACGAGGCGCTGTGCTCTGAAACTCCTGTGGGCTGACAGGGTAAACCCTGCGTGATGTGCCGCGTCCTGGCGGCTCTAGGCTTTGGGGGTTCCCAGGAGGTTTACAGACCACGCACTTGTAACCCAGGGTAGGGTCGTTGTTTCATCCCTCAAGCCATGGTGTTTGTTGTGCTGTTTGGGAATGGCGTGTCGCCGAGCCGCCTGTCATTTTGTTCGTGGTGTCCGTGATTGCTGTCTGCTGTCTTGGATGAAGTCGGGCGTGTCCCTGTACAGGAGGAATGTTCAAATATAATTTAAACATCGTTTTGGGACAATGCTTTAACGTATTGTGGGCTATTGTCGAACGGCAATTTTGATCCGCTTATAGGATAACACGCCCGACCTAAGTCTTGGACGCGGTATGCAGGGCTGGTGCGCGGGAGACTCGGGGCGCCAGGGCGTCCTGGGGCCTGGCGGCCGCGCCAGAGAGGGCTGGCGGGCGAGAGACTCGGGACACTCTCGGGTATAGCCAGGACCCCAGGTAAGGGCACCCAGTTAGTGGTAGGGCCCCGGAGCTTTAAAATTTGCCAGAATCACGAAACCAGGTCTGCCGTAATTGGTGTTTTTTCGGGTGACGGCACTTCCGGTTCGTGGAACGGGGCGGGGGGGGCGTACCCCAGTACACATCACTAAACCAGGTCCCTCCCATTAAACCCAGTTTTTCCGATGCCCGACATTCGGGCGTATGAGCGCCTGGCGGCCGCGATATGCAGGGCTGGCTGGCGGGCGGGGCTCGTTTAAACTTATCAATCCCAACGTGTCGGGTGGGGAACCTCTCAGGGTTGAAAAGCCAGCCTGGTGAACATATGGCGACGCCAGGGGGGGAGTGGAGTTTTCAAGAGGGTCCACGGGCTCTTAAGAAGCCTGCTGGGAAGCCTGAGGGCCCTTTTGAGAAGACCCCTGCCTTCTAGGAAGGCTGCCGCCTTCTCAGATGCCCACCCCGCTCGTGCCACCCTCTTTCTGCGCGGCGCCAAAGAACGACTCCTCTTCTGAAGCGTTTCGCGTTTTTGTGGAACTCCCAGGTGCGCCCTCGTGGCCATGGAGTCGCTCTGTCACCGCCGTACAGGTCCAGGGATCGGCTTCTGATGGGAGAAGACGTCGACGCCGTCCTTCCGATGGGTTCTCGGCTTCTCTGGGAGGTTCTCTCCACCACGGCCGGACGCGGCTCGGCAAACCAGCCAGGATGGACCTTGGGAAGGGTCTGGAGTTTCGAGCAGACTTTGACCATCGGGCGGCGAGGTCTATACATATCCACTGCTCCCCGGCCAGGCCCATCCTGAGCTCACGAGCTGTGTATACGCCCTCCTGGCCAAGCCAGGAGGGCGTGGCGTATGCACCGCTGCTGGGTTCAGGCTGGGCCTGGCCAGGGAGCAGTGGATATGTATAGATCTCGCCGCCCTAGACCAGGGGGGCAGGGCGAGGGGGCGGCGCGCGGAGAAGGCGGGGGCGGCTTCTTGGGAGGCCCTCCCGCCCTCATCGGGGGGGCCTTTCTGCGGAGACTCTCCGACCGCCCGCGGGAGCCCGGGTGTGTCGCGGGAGGCGGCCCCGTCCCAGGGGCGGCCCCAGCCTTTCCGCTGAGACCCAGGTGGGCGACGGAAGAAGGCGAAGAAGAAGAAGAAGAAGAAGAAGAAGCGAGGTCGACTGCGCCGACCTTCGGGCGTAAGCTTCCCGCGCCATACGTCGCGCGTAAGCGCCCTCTTCGCCACGCGGTCACCACGACGGCGGCCCGCGCAAGCCACCGCGCAGGGTCCCTCTGCCATCTCGCGTGAGGCCCGCTGCCTCTCGCCGCCCAGGTGGATGGCGCCATAGCGCCCGTCGAAAGAGCCCCGGGAGGCCAGAAACGGCGAGGAGAGCTGCCAGAAACGGCGAGAAGAGAGCTGCCAGAAACGGCGAGAAGAGAGCTGCCAGAAGCGGCGAGAAGAGAGCTGCCAGAAACGGCGAGAGGAGAGCTGCCAGAAACGGCGAGAAGAGCCCCCGGGAGGCCAGAAACGGCTGGGGGGCCTCCCGGGGGCTCCAGCAACGGCGAGGAGAGTCGGGAGCACCCCTGCAGCCGAGGCGCCGAAGCAGTGGCCACGCTGGGCTCGGGAGAGGGGCCCTGGTCATTCGGGCCCGGCCCGCAGGGATCTGGAGCGGGGAGAGCCTCTTCCTGGCCGAGTGCCGCCAAGAACCACACAGAGCAAGCCCCTTCGAAACTTGGCATCGCTCGGACGCGTGTATATTTTTCCGGCGAGAAAACCATCGAGGACCATCCTGGACCAACGAGCAAACAATTTGTTGATTCGCGGGTCGAGAGCGCACCTCTTCCGGTCGAAGCTAAGCCGGCCGCGCAAAGTTTGAATTAGCCATTGAGGGGGAGGAACGGGGGAGGGCGGACCATCGAGCAAACAAATGCACGCACGAAACCGGAAAATGCACGGGAAGTTGGCGTCCGAGCGACGGCCCCTTCGTGCCTCATGTGGCCTCCCTCCTGGCAGCACGAGGTCCCCCCTTCGGCTCCCCGCCCGGCCCGCGCGCGCCGCCGCAGGACGACGAGGTGCCCTTCGAGGAGGAGCTCCTCGACGAGGACGAGGACGAGGCCTGCGGAGGGGCCTCCGGTGGCCAGCCACGCGCAGAAGGGGGGTACCTTTGCTTCTTGGAAGGCGCGGGCCTCATCTATCGATGCAAGGCCGGCGCCTTCTGAGAAGCGGCCTGCTTCTAAGAAGCCCTCCTCCCTCCCCCCACCCCCTTGTGCGCGCCGCCGAGGTGGGCAGAGCCGCCCCCAAAGGCCTCACAAAGAGGGGCCCGCCGGGTGGCCGTATACGCGCTTCCAAGCGCGCCCGCTCCCTCGGAGCTCCTCTCTCTCTGGGCCCGCCCGGCCCCCACGCCGTGCCGGGGCCGGCGCTGCCCACCGGGAGGCCCTCGCCTCCTCCACAGACACATTTAATCGGCGATTCCCAGAAAATATGGGAAAATATGGGAAGTGGGGGGGAAGACAAGAACCCAGAAAATATGGGAAAATATAGGGGATATTTTTATTTGTGTGTATTTATTTGTGTGTCCCAGTTCCCCTTCATCCTCCCTCGCCTCGCGGCGTCGCAGGTTCTGTGCGTTTCGCGGCGTGCTCCCCGCGGGGGCCTCGGCCCCCTGCCCCGGAGTTTCCCAGCTCTGCCGCTCGGCGCCCTCGCGACGGGAGGCGGCGCCTGGATCCGAGGGTCCCGGCCTCTCTTGTCCGTGCCGCGTCGTCCAGCCGTGGTTCAGGAGGAAAAGAAACACACAGACACAATTAATCCTCGATTTCCCAGAAAATATGGGAAAATATGGGAAAATATGGGAAAATATGGGGATTATTTTTATTTGTGTGTATTTATTTGTGTGTCCCAGGGCCCCTTCAGTGGTGGCGAGCCTCTGGGGAGTGCCCGCCGCCAACGGCCCGAGACGCCGGGGCTCGCTGACACGCGGCGTGGTGCGGTGAGAGCGGACCGAGAGACGATACATAACAGGCCACAGTCTTCGCTTGCCGCCTCGACGACGACCGACGGACGAAGACGACGACGAGGACGACGAGGACGACGACGACGACGACGACGCTGACGACGACGACGACGACGACGACGACGTCGACGACGACGACGACGGACTACGACACACTACGACGGACGACGACGACGACGACGACGACGACGACGACGACGACGACGACGACGACGACGACGACGACGACTACGACGTAGACGTACGACGACGACTACGACGCAGAGGCCCCCTTGGAGGCCTTCGGAAGCCCTCGGAGGCTCTCGGAAACATTCGGATACCCAGTGAATCTTTCGGAGGTCTTTTAAGAGTAAGGGCAGGCGGAGCTGAGATGATACAAGGCAGGACACAGCCCACACCTGTCACTCTCGCTTGTCCGAAGGAGTGGCAGCATTGTGCAACGTCTCGATCTGAGGACTCCATGATTCCCGGCCTTATCTCTCAAGCTCGATGGATCTGCGGGGGCTCCTAAACCAGACGGTGGATGAGGATAATGGGGATGAGGAGGATGAGGAGGAGAATGGGAATGATGATGATGATGATGATGGTGATGATGGTGACGATACTGATAATGGTGATGGTGATGGTAATTGTCGTGATGCGGATGTTGAGTGTAATGCTGTTGGTCATGATGATGATGCTGCTGATGATGATCATTCTTCTGACCATGATGATGACGACGAACATGTCGACGATGAAGATGACGACGATGGTGATGCTGACGGTGATGCTGATGATTGTTATACTGATGATGATGATGATGGTCATGGATATGATAAGGATCCATATCATGATGATGTTGACGATGACGATGATGACGATGATGGTGATGATGATGGTAATGGTGATGAGTTTGATGATGATGGGCATGGTGATGAGGATGGAGATGATGCTGAGGATGGTGGTCATTGTAATGATGTTTAAGATGTTCATGAGCATGAGTGTGATCATGATCATGCTCACGATCATGATGTTGATGGTGATGATGGTGATAATGATGCTGATGATGATGATGGTGATGTTGGTGGTGGTGATGGTTGTGGTGGTGATGGTGATGATGGGGCTGCTGATGCTGATGCTGATGGTGATGCGTGTGAGGTTGATGAAGATCATGATGATGACGACGATGTTGATGATTATGATGATGATGATGATGATGATGATGATGATGGTGATGGTGATGGTGACCATGGTCATGACCATGTTGACGATGATGATGTTGATGATGATGGCGATACTGATAGTTGTGATGATGATGATGATGATGATAATGGATGGGGTTATGGTGGTGGTGGTGATGACGTCAATGATGATGGTGATGATGATGCTGATTATGATGATGAGTGATGATGATGACCATGAGTCGCATCATGAGTATGAGTCTGCTCTTGGCTGTGATCATACTGATGATGCTGCTGATGACGATGATGATGATGATGATGATGATGCTGATGATGATGATGATGATGATGATGGTGGTGGAATTGATGCTGTTACCATGATCCTAATAATGACCATGGTGACTATGACGATGGTGTTGATGTTGGTAGTGATTACGACGACGAGGATGATGATGATGCTGCTGCTGATGATGATGGTGGTGATGGTGATGATGATGGTGGTGGTGATGGTGATGGGGTGGTGGTGGTGGTGAGACCTCTCAGTTTCCGGGCACCCGCGACGGTGGATGCTTGGGAGCCGCGCGGCCAGGCTGGGCAGCCCGCGCTGCGCGGGGACGAGCAGCCCCAGGCGGCCGCGGCCGAGGAGGGCGGCGTGCCTGGTCTCACCGAGCGCGTCCCACTGCCCGCGAAGTGCCTATTCGCAAACGTCTGGAGAACCCATGCCTGCCTCGAGGTAATGGATCGTGAGGCCCCCGCGGCGGAACCAGGCCATTTGCGAGTCGTTACTGTGCGAGTAGTGGAACGCGCCTGTCTATGGTCAGCCGCCTCGGCACGTCTTTCGCCCCGCGTCGACATCTTCGTCGTCGTCGTTGCGGTAGTCGTCGTCGTCGTCGTTCTTGTCTTTGCGGTCGTCGCTTGTCGTGTTGCGCGAGGTGTCTCGGGGACGTTTGGGGCCGCCTTCGGGGTGGGGCTCGGGATCACCCCCCCTAGCTTGGCATCGCTTGGACGTGTGCATTTTTGCTCGGCGAGAAACCACGAGGACCATCCTGGACCATCGAGGGAAAAAAAAAAACACACGAAACCGAAACATGCACGGGACATGGACGTCCGAGCGACGGCAAGCCTGGGAGATCCCAACCGAGGAAGCCCAGGCGCTTCCGCCATCTGTTCTGGCGGACGGGGAGGCCGGCGGGACCTTGCCGGGTCGGCCCCCGAAGGCCAGGACCTCTTCTCGGGTGCCTTCCGCCTCCGGCGGGGGTTCTCTTGCGGAACCTCTGCCTGCATCCGCCAAGGACTCAGCAGGCCTGGCCTGCTCGAGGTCGAGTCTGGCCATTGGTGTCAAAACGCCAAGGGCCAAGGCCTTCTCTCGGGTGCCTTCCGCCTCCACTGGGAGTTCTCTTGCTGAACCTCTGCCTGCATCCGCCAAGGACTCAGCAGGCCTGGCCTGCTCGAGGTCGAGTCTGGCCATTGGTGTCAAAACGCCAAGGGCCAGGGCCTTCTCTCGGGTGCCTTCCGCCTCCACTGGGAGTTCTCTTGCTGAACCTCTGCCTGCATCCGCCAAGGACTCAGCAGGCCTGGCCTGCTCGAGGTTGAGTCTGACCATTGGTGTCGAAACGCCAAGGGCCAGTGGCCAGAACGCTTGCACGATCTTGGGGGGGGCATGAGCTCGTGGGGGTCCAACATGTTCCAGGGGGGCAAGGAGACCACAGAAGTGGCAGTTATGCTACCTCAGCTCGGCGCAGACTGGGTGGTGAGATTCTGATGTGTTGACGCCCTCTCGTAGTCGCGCTGTGGCTCGAAGATTTCAGCATGCCCGAAGAGGGCCTCGGAGAGACCCTTCTGGTCGATTAGTTATGGGCCGTCCGAGTGAACCCCTGGGACTGGGAACGCAGTGGGCCGTCCGCCAGCAGATCCCGTCCCAACAACATGCGATGGCGGTTCCGTTTTCGTCTCGTTGCTGGGCCGTCTGTTGGGCCGCGGCCGCAGAGGAGGTCACCTCGCCCCGTCTGGCGATGCCGTCGAGCAGCCCGCGGGCCTCTCCCCTCCCCAAAATCCCCCGATCCCCCGGCGCTTCTTGCGTGATCTGCTGCCTCCCCGGGCCACTCTTCCCGCCCCCCCGGGCGCCGGCAGAGGAGCCTGCCTGCAGGCAGAGCAGGCTCTGGCCTTTCGGGACAATTGGTCGGCTCGTGCAGGGGGCACGGCAGGAGCCACGGCCTCGGGGGTCTGGTGCCGCATCTCCTCCTCCTCCTCCTCCTCCTCCTCCTCCTCCTCCTCCTCCTCCTCCTCCTCCTCCTGCTCCCCCCCCCCTCCCAGGTCGATCCAGACAGGCCTTCAGTGGAAACAAAAACGCGAGCACTCCTGCCACATCCATCCATCTGTCAGCGCCTCCCCATTCCCCCCCAGGGGTCAAAGTTGGCGGCGGGTCTGGCGAGTCGCACCTCGACCGCAGTCTCCCCCGCGCGTGCCAACTCTGAGGTTGGGGGGCGGGGGGGGGGTGTACAAGCTGTTTCCCCCATCGGAAGGCGGCCCGGGGCCGAAGGCCCGCGGGGCCTGCCAGGCAGAAAGCGGCGGGACCCTTGGGCGCGCGACCCCGGAGGAGGAGCACCCATGGGGCTGCTGTTAAGCAGAGGTCGGCCGGGGGGGACGCAGGCCTGGGGTCAGGAGGGCGCCCCCCCCCCCCCCCTTCAGGCAGTGGCGAAGCGTCCTGGCGTGCCGATGGGCCTACCAAGCAATGTTGTGAGAACCTCTTCGTGGTTCCCACGAGATGTTCTTAGAGCATTTCTGGCTGGAGCTGTCTAGTTTCCACGCATCGGGTTTATGTTCTAAGAACCTTGTTCTTGTTCTGAGAACATTGTCGGGTTCTAAGCACAGTTCGTGGTAGGACTACAAGAATGCCGGGACGGTCGGTCCCTGCTCACCCCCCCTCCGCTGCTGCTCCACGAGTGTGGTTGCGGACAAAGCTCGACGCCAGCGGCGTTCTGGGAGGGTAGGGCGAGGGCCGGTAGCGCGAGGGTTTCCAGCCCATCCGAGGCCCTGTATCTAGAGTCCTTCCCCAGGGTGCCCTTGCATCCTTGCCTCCTCGGTCCATCCTTGGCCACTTTCGTTGGCTGCGCCCCGCTCGAGAAGCTCCGAAACGGGCTTCCAAGGCCCTTGCATCCTTACAGCGCATCCTTATCATACGGGTCGACTGTGGACCAGCCTGGGCATCACCCGCCAAAATGCCACCCGCAGCGCCCCCGGCATCGAGGCTTTCGGTCGGTGCCTCGGCCGGCGCCCACGTGCGACTCTGCGCTGGCCAAACAGCCAGCGTGCAGTGGGCTGGCTGGGCCCACGTTGGCGGCACTCTCGTCGACTTCGGCCGCCTCCCCCTCCCCAGTCCCACAAAGGACGGGCCAGGGACCTCGCCGGCGCCGGCGCCGGCGCTGGCACCGACGCTTAGCCCCAGACCCTCGGCGGCACTGGAGCTGGCGCCAACGTTGGCGCCTGTGGCTCCGTCACCGCTGCCGCCTCAGGCCCCCGCAGAGAAGGCGGCGGACGGCCCCGGGAAGTATCGCATCGTCTCCGCGGGGCCACTGAAGGAGCTGCCGGTGAACGCTGAGCGCTCGCGCACAAGCGCGGCCGTGGCCCAGCTCAGTATCGGCACCGAGGTCGAGGTTGTGGAGGTGGCGCCAGAGCTGGACGGCGGCCGGCGGCGGGCGCGCATCACAGTCCCCGCGGCTGGCTGGATCACAGTGGCGAACGAGACCCCGGGAGGCTCGCGGTTTGCAGAGAGAGTGCCGGAGCCTGAGCCTGTGCCCCAGCAGACCGTGGACCAGTCCATTGCGCAGGCGGAGGGCGCTTCGGCGCCGCCAGCGGAGTCGGAGGAAGCGCCGTTCGAGGAAGAGCCTCTCGAGGACGAGGAGGCTTCGCAGTCGCCACCTGCGCCCGCACCCTCGGAACCGGTGGACCAGGCCACGACGCAGGTAGTAGACGTTGCGGCGCCGCCGGCGGAGTCAGAGGACGTGCCATTCGAGGAGGAGCCGCTCGAAGACGAGAATGCCTCGAATTCACCGCGCCCAGTGCCTGCAGCTGACCCGCCGGGACAGTCCGCGCCGCAGGAGCTTGCCACACCCGCGCCGCCAGCACCCGCCGCGCCCACGCCCCAGCTGGTGCCGCAGGAGGACGGGCCTGGGAAGTATCGCATCGTGTCGGCGGGGCCACTGAAGGAGCTGCCGGTGAACGCGGAGGTCTCGCGCAAGAGTGTGGCCGTGATGCAGCTCGGCATCGGCGCCGAGGTCGAGGTCGTGGAGGTGGCGCCAGAGCTGGACGGCGGCCGGAGGCGAGCGCGCATCACCGTCGCCGGCCACGAGGCCGGCTGGATCACGGTGGCGAACACGGCAGAGGGAGGCATGAGGTTCGCGGAGAGAGTGCCGGCGCCGGCGCCGGCACAGGAGGACGAGAAGGAGGCGGAGCGCGGGGGGGAGCTGGAGACCGAGCCTCCCACAGCACCTTCAGCGCCCGCAGATCCTGGCGCGGCCGCCGCCGAGGCAGCCGGGGAACCACCGGCGCCCGCGGACTCCAGCGCCGCCGCGGCGGGTACAGAGGAGGCTCGATGTGTTGTTTTTTTGCGCATCTCGGGTTTGGCTTCCCTTTTGGTGATCATGGTGAGGGCGGGAGGGCGTGCGAGATCCAGCAGGCACAGCACTGCACCAGGCAAGTGAGCGCGGGAATGCGAGCGAGGTCTGAGGGATGGTGAGGCGATGGCTGAGTCCATTTGCACGCTGTCGGTTTCAGTGCGGCGTCCGACCTCGCTCTATCTTCTGCTGCTCTTTTGCTGTGCGAAGGATGTGTTGTGATAGTCTTAAGTCGGACATGCTCCTCTACAGGAGGAATATTCAAGAATAGTGTAAACAACTGTCTGGTGACGATTTGTCGTGCTCTTTTGACTATGTTTGATTATGGTTTGGGTATTTTTTCAAAAACCCGCCTGTAGGAGAATATGCCCGACCTAACGTTAGGCCTCGCCTTGGTTGGCCACACGTTTCTTTTGATGTGTTTTGAGTTGGGCTACGTTGCTTGTGCTGTAATGGTGGGGATTAGGAGTTGGAAGAGCATGAGCAGGACCACCACGACGATGAGGAAGATGAGTGAGGATGGCGAGGAGGAGCAGGAGTAGCCAGTGGAGGACGATGGAGCGGGGGAGGTCCAGGCGCTGGGGAGGAGTAGGAGGTGGAGGAGGAAAGTTGGAGGAGGAGGAGGAGGAGGAGGAGGAGGAGGAGGAGGAGGAGGAGGAGGAGGAGGAGGAGGGGGAGGAGGGGAGGAGAGGAGGAGGAGGAGGAAGAGGAGGGAGGAGGAGGAGGAGGAGAGGAGGAGGAGGAGGAGGAGGAATGGGGAGGAAGAAGAGGAGTAGGAGGAGGAGTAGGAGGAGGAGGAGGGGGAGGAGGAGTAGGAGGAGGAGGAGGAGGGGAATGAGGGGAATGAGGAGAGGAAACGCCTTGCCCGCCCTAATCATACGGCTGGGGGTGCGACAGGGAGGAGGTATACAACAAGAAAAAGTAAGGAGGAGGAGGAGGAGGAGCAGGAGGGGAAGGATGAGGAACAGGAGGAGGAGGAGGAGGAGGAGGAGGAGCAGGGGAAGAATGGGTGCCGGACGAGGAGTGAGAGGGAAAGGGCACCATCGTGTGGGTGCCCCGTGGCTTGTCCGGTGGCCTGTCCCGTGGTTGGCCCGCGGGTGCTCCCGTGGGTTGCGGCGTGGCTCTCCCGAGGACCCTCCCCGCGGCTGTCCCGTAGGTGCTCCCACGGATTTTCCCACGGTCGTCGCGCGGGTTGTTCCGTGGCTGTCCTGTGGGTTGTCTCGTGGACAGTCTCGCGGATTGGCCCGCGGGTTGGCCGGTGGTTCTCCCGTGGGCCCTCCCGTGCTTGTCCCGTGATTGTCCGCTGGTTGTCTCAAGGGCTGGTCCGTGGTCGTCCCGTGGATTCGCCGACGGGCTTTCCCGTGGTTGTCCCCCGGATTGTTCCGTGGGCTGTCTCGTGGTCCTCCCGTGGGTGGTCCCGTGGTTGTCGAGTGGTTGCCCATTGGGTCGTCCCGAGGGTTGTGTGTTTCCACGGTTGTCCCGTGGGTCCGCTCATGGGTTTTCCCACAGTTGTCCCGTAAGTTGTTCCGTAGTTGGTCGCGTGAAATTTCCCGTGGGGTATCCCGTGGGAAGTGCATAACCCAAGTCCACATTCAAATCGAAACGCCAATCGAAAAGCAGTGGAACTGCATGGCGAAATACAATTCGACATGCAAATCTGCATGTTGATCGAAATGCAAGTCGGCATGCAGTTCTACATGCAAACGTACATGAAAAGCAGTACGTAATCGACATGCAAGCCGCCATTCAATGAAAGCACAAGTCGAAGTTCAATCCCACCAACTCCTCTGACATACCTATCACCCGAAGGGTGGTCGATGAGGCATATCATCGAGCCTCGATATTCGAGATAGGCGTAACGACGAGAGGGGTTCGTCACCTGTTTAGCGTTCCCGGCTTCAGCCATGCCTATTTTCCCAGTTGACTTTTAAATGGCTTCAAGGGCTTGAACATTGAGTACTCCTCCTCCTCCTCCTGCTCCTTATCCTCCTCCTCTCCTCCTCCTCCACCATGGGCCGTGTGGAGTTTGCCTCTAAGGGTCTTGCTGAACTCCTCGGCGAATTCCTCGTGGCGTTGTGGGCGGCTTCTCGAGGTCGTGCCCCTGGCGTCGCCAGACCGGCGGCCTTGGACTGCAGAGGTCGAGTGCACTCGGGGGGGGGGATGAGCATGCGGTTATATCAAACGATGATGGGTTCGGCTTCTTTCCATGGATGCATAGTTTAGATCTCGTGTTCAATGGTCGTGCATCTGTTGCCAATGGGACCGTTTGTTCGCTCGTTCCGAGCCTCCGGGAGGCTTCTCCTCACCCGGGCGGGATCCGCCCATACGAATTCTGGCGAGAATGCCTCCTTGGGGAGCCTCTGGAGGCCTCTCGGGCCCGAGCATGGTCAGCACACATAACTCTGTGGCGAGCGAGGGGGGGAAACGAGAAGGAGAATACCTTCTCATAAGGTGACGGGACTTCTCAGAAGCCCTCGCGCCGTCTGAAGAGTTTTCTGCGTCTTCGTGGAAGGCTGAGACCGCCTCTCAGAAGGCCCGTGGACTTCCGAGCCTTCTGAGAAGGCCTTCTCCTTCTCACTTCCCCCCTCCCTCGCCGCCAAAGAAGAAGTCTCTGGTCCTCGATTCTCGAACCTCCTTTTGTCGACCCTCGGGCGGCACGATCCCCAGGCGTCCTTCCTTGGGACGCCGAGTGGCGGGATCCTCGGGCGATACGACCCTCCGATCCTCTTACCCCGAACCTTCCCCCATCGACCCTCGAACCTCATCGAACCTCCCCCTTGGGTGTTCGATCCTGGACCCCATTGATTACGGCAACTATCCAGCTTTGGCGCCGAAAACCGCTGGAAGCTGACGACGACCGCTGGAGACCGTCAGAAGACCGCCGAAGACCGCTAGAAGACCACCGAAGACCGCCGAAGACCGCCCAGGGCTGGTGGGTATACAACGGGTCCATCGTCGAATGCGTAGTCCTCCTCGATCCCTCGATCATCGAACCTCCTCGAGCCTCCCTCTCTCGGTCCTCGATCCCTGGTCCTCGAGCGGTTCGCGCGCCCCGCGTGGCGGAGGCGCCTGCCGCCGCGGCGGGCGCGGCCGCGCCCAAGAGCGAGCCGGGCCTCGCGAAGGGCGCGGCCGCCAGGCTGCTCATGAAAGGCATCCGGAGCGGAGAGGTTCTCCCCCTCCTCCTCCCTCCTCCTCCTCCTCCTCCTCCTCCTCCTCCTCCTCCTCCTCCTCCTCCTCCTCCTCCTCCTCCTCCTCCTACTCTCCTCCCCCTCCTCCTCCTCCTCCCTCCTCCTCCTCCTCTCCTCCTCTCCTCCTCCTCCTCATCATAACCCCCTCCTCCTCCTCCTCCTCCTCCTCCTCCTCCTCCTCCTCCTCCTCCTCCTCCTCCTCTTCCTCCTCGATTTCGCCATTTCGGGCTCCCTGGGAGGCCCTCATCGCCACGGTTGGAGTCGCTCTGAAATCCTGTTCCGAACGCACCCGGGGAGAGGTCTGGTGAGTAGCAGTATCGGTATGCACCTGTTGGTTCTCCCAGTCCCCGAGAGCTGAACAAATCCATGCCTCCGAGGCAGATGAGGCAGTGAAGAGAAGGCCTCGCCTTCGAGGATCGAGGGGGGTGATATCCCTTCCTCGGCGGAAAGGCGGCGGAAGGGCGGCGGAGGTAAAACGAGGCCGCGTCCGCCAGCGGAAGGCCTGCAGAATCCGGCGGAAGCAAAATGTGCGCCTCCAAGAGAGGGCAACATGTTCTGGTGCAGGTGCCCAGAATCGCTCCGATGAGGTCCGAGCAGGTGCGGTCTGAGGAGCAAAGAAGCAAGAAGAAAGCAACTCGAAAAAGAAACGAATTATTCAATTCGAAGAGTAGAACGCGAACAAGAAACGAAGAAGAGAACTCGAAGAGTAGAACTAGGGTCTGAGTCTCGAAGAGTAGAGCTCGAACAAGAAAGCAATGCATAAAACATAAACGCAATGTTCTTGAGTTCCGCGCGGATTTCCTTGGGCGACGCTGCCCCCCCCCCCAGGACGGCGCACCCGGCTTCGCTCCCGGCGCGCTCCGCGCGCGCCAGGGAAAGGTCCAGCGCCGATCCAGGAAGTCTGCGCGGAGCTCCCGAAGTTCTTGTGTAGACAGTCTGTTGTTCGTCTTAAACAACTACAGGCCTCCCAGGTGGGGTCAGAGTAGGTGGAGTCGAAGGATCGCGCCGCATCGCCGCTGCATCGCCGCTGCATCGGCGATGCATCTGCGATGCGGAGCCCCAAATTTCTCCACGCCGACGTCGCCAATGCGCCGCCGCCGCCGCCGGTGCATCGCCGATGCATCGGCGACTCTGTGCACTCCTCCGCCCCCATCTGCTTGGACCCCATCGGGGAGGCCTCCTTAGCTGAGACCACTGTTAAGTCGGGCCTGTCCCTCTACAGGGGGAATGCTCAAAAATAGTCAAACAATAGTCTGGGGAGTATGTTTTGAGCAGTTGGGGGGGAATCTTTTGAGTTTTTTTTGCTTTTTTATTTTCGTCCAAAATCCCCCTGTAGGGGGACAGGCCCGACCTAAGAGCAATGGCTCGCCCAGATCTCTTCGCGGAGGGGCCGCTGCCCTCGCGGAGCCTGGTTTCTCCAAAGGCGGCCTCCGGGGAACGGCCGTCAGAGGTGGGCCCGTGGGCCCAGGGGCCGGGGAGCGGGTCGAGATCTGGGCGTGGCCTCCTCCTCCATCTCCATTTCCTCCTCCTCCTCCTCCTCCTCCTCCTCCTCCTCCTCCTCCTCCTCCCGATGCCCTTCTCTGTTTCCGCCTCTCTGGGCTTCCTGGGGGGCCCTCGCCGCGCTGGCGGGGTTTGCCTCGAGATTTCGGTGCCAAAGCGTGCCCCGTGAGAGGTCCCGGGACTAGCGGCATCGGCAGCACGAGCGGAGAGGTTTGGAATCGTAGAAATTGGGGACGCTTCGCGCAGCCCCGCCAGCCCATCCAGGAACGATGCCCAGGGGAGTTGAGGTGATCAGGAAAGTGGGGGAGCATGCAGAAGAACAAAGGGCGGGGGAAGCCGTCATATACCCCAAGAGGGGGCGGATTGAGGAGGAGTCGTCGTCGTCGTTGTCGGAGGAGGAGGAGGAGGAGGAGGAGGAGAAGAATGAGGAGGAAGAGGAGTTCCTCTTGAGGCCTCTTGGGGGCCTCTTGGGATCCTCTGGGAGGCGTCTTGGACGCCTCTTGGCACTGTCTGGGCGCCTCTTGGGGCCTTCCTGGGCCGCTCTTGGGAGCTTTCGAGGCTCTCTGGGGGCCATCTTGGAGGGCATCGATCAAAAAAGAGTGGAGGTGCAAGTAGCCTCCCCCCTCGGGAGCACCGAAAGTCGCCTCCTGGACCCTCTTGGAGCGCTCTTGGGGCGCTCTGGGGCGCTCTGGGGGCCGTCTTGGGGCTCTCTTGAGCATCTCCTGGGGCTCTCTTGGGCCATATCAGAGCCATCTCGAGGCCTCGGATGGCCATCGGAAGCGAAAAGGCGAGAAATCACAAATCATTGATGTTCCTCCGGTTATTGACTGATGTTGGCTTCTTGGGGGCCTCCTTGGAGGTCTCGGCCGCCTCTTGGAGCTGTCTTGGAGCGTTATTGCGGCCTCTTGGAGCATCTTGGAAGCCATCTTGAGTCATCGTGCGCTATCATGAGACATCGTGGAGCTCATCTTGGACTCTCAGGGGCCCTGTTGGAGCCGTCTTAGGCCATCTTCGACGCTCTGACCGCTCGCGGAACCCCCGTCCAGGTCCAGGGGAGGGGGTAGGGAGAGGGGTCAAGCTACCCACCCGCCCGCGAGCCGTCTAGCTCACTCCCATCCGCCCTCCCAACACATAAGTAACACCCGAACCTGAGCATGTTCAGCGGTCGTGTTCAGTGGACAGCTACTCAGAGCCAAAGCCAACCCCAGTTGCGCGACGCTTGGGCGAGGTGCGCCACGCGTGCCAGGGGCGCCATGCGCGCCATGCACCCCTGAGGCCCGAACGTGCCAGACATGCCTGGTGCGCCAGATGCACCACGTGCTCCGAGTTCCCCAGGTGTGCCGCACACTCCAGCCGCGCCAGGTGCGCCATAGGGGCACGTGCAGAGTGCGTCAGGTGCGCCTGCGCACCTGACAGCACACATCGGGAAACATGTCGGCACCCGTCATCCGTGTCGAAAACCAATGCCCATCATTGCGTCTGGTGGGCCTGCGCACATCAGGCCACGCGCCACCACCCCCGCCGCCCCTGTCAAAAACCACTTGACAGTGATCGCGGGATGGCCGCGCATGATCTAGATGTAGCCCCGAGGTGCATGTCGTTTTGTTGTTTTTCTGTGTGAGGGATGGTCGTCCTGAGCACAGCAGGAAATATGCTGACACCCTTGCCGTCCCTGTCGCGGTCTCATGATCATGACTCAAGACATTAGCCCAAATTGAACTTTGCATTGTTCGTTGACAGGGATGGTGGGAGTGGCCGCGTCGGCTTGGCCGCGCATGCTCCAAATGTGGAGGCAGAGTGCGGTTTGTATTGTTGTTTGACAGGGATGGTGGGGGGCGGGCTCGCATGGAGTCGGCATGGCTCCAGGTTGGCCGCCGGCTGGGTGGGGGAGGGTGTGAATATCAATGAGGAACAATAATCAACCCCTTCCCGAAGGGGAAGAAGGGGGTGGGAAGAGGAAGCTCCTTAGACCACCTACGCCCAAAGGGCTCGTGGGATTCTCATCAACATAATGTTTCTGAGGTCCACGCTGATTTCATGGGCTGTTGCTGCACCCCATCGATCCCCAATTCAGTTAAGAATGCCATGGTGGATGAGGACGCAACATCAAGACAGTTTCTCATCAAGCATTGGGCTGACGTTTCGTCCCTGCCGGAACTCTTCTGAGCCACAGGACTATTATGAAGTCAGGCATGTCCCTCTACAGGAGGAGCGTTCACGAATACTGACAAGATAGTCCGGAGACGATTCTTCGCGCCTGTCTGATTATTCTTGGTCGTGTTTGACGAACTGCTTGTTTAAACTTTGTCCTCCAAGGTCCGCCTGTAGGAAGACAGTCGGGTCGGGCGAAAGGGGGGGATTGGGAAAGGGGGGGTTACGAAATTTGCTGCACGCAGCTGGTTGCGGCCTCACCGAGGGGCCCATTCCTCGATACATGGCCGCTCCCGGCGCCGGGAGGCGCCGGGAAAATCAGCTACGTGAGCTGATTCTCAAACCCCCCCTTTGCTATCCCCCCCTTTCGCCCGACCCGAGACAGGCCCGACCTGAGACTACTGACCATGTGCTTGTAGCATGGCACGGGGGCCTTGCCCAAACACGCGTGCACGAGGTCCGCGCGGACTTCCTGGGTCGGCGTCTCGCACCCCCGGCGGCGCCTCGGGCGCCGCGCGCCGGGAGAGGAGGAGCAGCGCCAGCCCAAGAAGTAAGTCGAGCATGTCCCTCTACAGGAGGCAGATGCCAGAAACATGAAACATAGCTTGGTGCCGATGTTTCGTGTTGTTTATTCTTATGTGCATTATTATGATTGTTACCCGTTTTCGTATTCATATTAGTTTGATTCGTATTCGTATTATCAGTATTATTCGTATCATTAGTACTGTTTATTGTTATTGTTGATATTATTGTTTTTGTTACGTTTAGTGCTATTATTTGTAATAGTATGGGGAATATTATCACTACTGGCTATTGTTCACAATCCGCCTGTATGAGGACATGCCCGATCTAACCCAAGGAATCAGCCGAGCTCTCGAAAGCTTACGTTTGTGTGGGTGGTGTTGTTCTCCTCAGGTCGGTCGCATCATCGACGCGTCCGCAGGCGATGCCGCGGCGAATGACGAGGCCCTCTGCGCCTTCCCTCCCTCTCACTCCCTCCCGCCCTTTCCTCGCTCTCGCATCTGCTTCCAAGGAACAGGAGAAGCAGGAAGAGGGGCGCTCTTATTGTTCCTGTTCTTCCTCTTCCTCCTACTCATGCCTCTCCTCCGTCCTCCTACTCGTCATGTTCCCCGTCAGCCTCCACACATCCCTGAACCAGAGCCGCAACTGGAACTACGACTATGGCCAGCACCGCACCCACAATGAAGCTGGAAGGGCGGCCCATGGGCTGAGGCAGCAGACGCGTATAGTTTGTGGATTGACCCCTCGCTGCCTGGACGGCCAGTGCTGTTGAGGTCCCCCTCCCTTGGGGCTCCTGCCAGCTTGCCGACCCTGTGCCGACAGGGAGCAGAGCGGCGGCGCCCTGCTCCGGGGATGGCCTTCCAGGAGGAGCCCGCCCGCGGCTGGGGAGCCCTCCTTGCCGGGTTCGGGATCGAGCCCAGCGGTTCTGCACACGGGACCGCGCGTGCGACCTCCGAGCTGGAGCGAGGAGACCTGGCAAAGCTTGACTCTTGAGTTTGCCTGCTGGGCAGCGGAGGCGCACTTCGACCTCTGAGGGTGTCACACAGTTTCACGCAGAGTCCTGCCCCTCGCGGGCCAGCCTGACAGGACTTTGAACCTTGAGCCTTGCGACCTCCGGGCAAGACGAGATGCTTGAACCCGTGGGAGTAACCCTCTCGCTCTTTTGGGTTACCGTCGGACGTCTGACTCACAGAACCTCACGCCGAAGAGCTAGGCCGGCCTTTCTCGGCCAACCCGCGGGAAAGCTGGCCCAGCTTCTTGAGCACTTGCCGCCCCCAGCGATAGCATCAGACGTTGGCCCAGATGTGCTGCCAGATGCGAGGCCACATATATTTTGGATGCGAATTTCTTGATCCGATTCTCGGCTGTAGTGGGTGGGCTCTGGACTGCTGGCTTCCGCTCTATGTCATGTTCACCTCTTCTTCCTCGTGCCCCGGCGTGCTTGGGCTCGTCTGGCTCGCCGCGCGTGCCTCCGGCGGCTCCTTGCGCTTGCGGGCTCCCGTGGGTCGAGAGGGCGAGGCTTGCTCCGCGTCTTCCTCCTCCTCCTCTTCTTCCTCCTCCTCCTCCTCCTCCCTCTCTCCTCCTCCTCCTCCCCCTCCTCCTCTTCCTCCCCCTCCTCCTCCTCTTCCTCCCCCTCCTCCTCCTCCTCCTCCTCCTCCTCCTCCTCCTCCTCCTCCTCCTCCTCCTCCTCCTCCTAGCCGCAATCACGGCGCAAACCGCACACTTTCGCGGCTATTGAAACAGCCAGGGCACTCTTGTCAGGGGCAGCGATGTGCGTTCTCACCGCGCGGGGCCCGCGCTCCCCGTGAGAGAGGGAGGGCCCGCGCCACCCGCCGCCGCAGGCTTCCCGCCGTTCGCGACGGCGACCTCATCGACGATGACGACAAGAGCAGGTGCGGACGCTTTCCGTGCTGTGCGCCACGCGCGCGCAGTATCCTACAATCCAATGCGCTTGACTGGATTATTTGGGGATGAGATCTCAACGGACTTCGGAAATGTGGGTGCTGTTATGTTGCAGCAGACCTGCCGGCCAAAAGGAGATGACGACCCGCGTCGTGTCAGTCGCCACTCTCGTCACTACGAGATCTCCTTCGGTTTCTCGAGGTCATCCAACAAATCATGTGGCACACGTATCATGTTGCATTACCAAATGTCCCCCCGACGTTATATCAAGAGTATTTCCGCCCCGCCCGTGAACCTGGAGGGTCGGTGCGGCGCTGGTTGTCTTAAATCTGGATCGTTTGACCTTCTCTTCGTCACGATGTATTTCCCTGTCTACTCGAATCAGCGAGCAGGCCGCGCCGAGCAACGACGATTGGTTCTGAGCTTGACTGCGTGGCTGCAAAAGTTGTTATTGCTTATCGGCGGGAGATGCACTCCGACTGTTGGCATGGATTTGAATGATGCATTGGGATGGGCTCGCGATTTTGTGCGACGGCGAAGCTATACCCGTTTAAGACGACGAGGACGATGGTCAATGCACCAACCCGTGCGACAGGCACCATGAGGGGGCGGCTGGTTGTGCAGTAAGGCAGCTGATGATCGAAACCACGATGTGCGCGATGACCACATTCCTGCCGTTGGGCACTACCGTCTTCGGCGTAGGTGGCGCCGCCTCAGGGATCGATTTCGTTTTGATTCCACGGTAACTGCGGCAGTATGTTATTTTACCAAAGGTGCGATTGCACATGGGGCTGGGCAGAGACCGCAACCGATCGCGACTCTGGACAATCGGGAGCATAGGCCGATCTAGGTTGAAGTGAGATACGAGTTCCAGGCGCAGTTTGACTCTCGCCCGCCGCCCAGGGACTTTCACAAAATCACGCGCTCGCTCACTTCAGGGACTGCGCGTGCGGAAGCACTTGCGGCTATTCCATCCGAGGTGGTGGGGGCCCCCCACCTGGACTGGATCAAGTTGCGTGCCCGAGTTACCCCCGGCGAAATATGGATCTCCATTGCGAGCTTGGAGACGGCGAAGGCTACGGAACATATCGAGCGGAAGACCGATCGGGAGAAGGAGTTGTCTGGTCCGGAAAAAGGCGCGCTCAAAGTTGTTTAGAGCTCGCAAACACATATGTGGCAAGTCGATCGGGAACCCCGAAGTTTCGATATCGGATCTACTCTTGACGGAGGTCGAGTCGGATCTACGCGCATCAGATGTCGAGATGGCTTCGCGTGATAATGTTGAACTCACGCTTGCCCGTGTCTTTTTCCGCATTAGACGGTCGCCACGATTGCCCCGCAAAAACACGTGAAGCAGTCTTGCCCACCGAATTGATGGAGGCATGGATGTCGCACGATCACGTCAACGTTCAACGCCTCATCCGTCGGCGATTCATGCGAGGGGCAGAACCTCGGCACAGGAAGCATATTGTTCTGAAATCGGAGAACAGTGAAGCACGTGAGATATGGGAGTTTCTGCGTCGACCCGCGAAGGCTGGCGGTCTTGAGGCTCAAGTGCGCGACCTTCAGACAGAGCTGCTTGGACGGTTTGATAGATGGCGCGTCGATGGTTGGGGCGCCTCCGGCGAGGCGCGCTACGACGCCACGCGGGTCGAGAACCTAGGCGAGGCGCGTGCCGATCTGATCGGGATCATCAGACGACTGCGGAGAGCGCCGAAGCGACGGGCCACGCCATCCGGGCCTTTCCCCTCCGCGCTGTGACCCCCCTGCGCGGCGAGAAGAGGCGGGGGCGATTCCGCGGGGGGGGTCTCGGTGCTGCCCTCCGCCCCGCCCCCGCGACGGCCCTATTCTAGCGCGCTTGATTTGCTGGCGTGCTTTCGGAGAACAACTTTGGCTTCGCTTGTTTTGACATATCATCGCGCTGTGGACTGGGCGACAGAATGGGAAGCCGGGCGCCGAGAGTCAGAGGTGGATTCATGTTTTCTGCCCGCCAGGCAGGGCCTGGAGCTCTCATTTGTGGGTGAAGGCTCGAAGACACAGAGAAGCTCTTCGACGCGCGCGTCGCGGTTGTTTCCCAGAAGCGTCGGAGGGGAGATGCTGTTTTGATCCAAATGCTGCGCTTCCCGGCGACTGCAGCGACGGGGGTTCTCTCGCGCCATCGTGAAAAAGGGCGCCACCAACGCTTTCTCGGGCGTCTCTCGGGGCGCCATGCTGGGCGCGATTCCATCGCTCTACCCGCCCGTGGGCGTCAGGTTCCAGCGCCAGCGCGCCGCCCAGAGCGCGTGCCAGACCATCGCACTTGGCGAGGCGATGAGCCCCCGCCCCCCGACGACGGGCGACCTCATGGGCCGCCCCAGCGTTGCGCGTGGTTCCCCCTGCCCCTACCAACAAGTTTTGAAGCTTGTTCTTGTCCCTGAGATTCGTCTACGTGCGACCTCGAGTTCGATGGCGACGGTTGCGAATGTGAGCGGCGCCCTGACAGTCGCGGGCCCCTCTTCGCCGGTGACATCCCTGAGCATGTCGCCCCTGGGCCAGGTCCGCCTCCGCAGCGGATGGGCGGCGAGGCGCGTCGCCCCCTCGCCCTGGCTCGCGTCAGCAGCGAGCACTTGCAGCGAGCCCCGGCAGAGATCGGGGTTTCCTCGGATCCCGGGGAGCGGGTCTCCCTGGTCAAGATTGCAGGCCCAGGCACTACTGGGCAACGTCGACACATCTTCAGCGGGGCCATCGAAACTGAGGGGGGGCTTAAGATGCGCGCGAGGTCACGAGTGGGCCCCTCCAGGCGGAAAAGGTGAAGCGCGTCCAGGCTGGGCGGGCTGGGCTTTGCAAGATCTTTTTATTCCTGAGGCGCTCGGTCATCCTGGGCGCGAAGCGAATGGCGGCGATAGCGTTTGTCCAGTCCGCTCTTCTCTCTGAAATGGAGGCGAGGGCCCCTGACAAAAGTCTCTGCGTTGCAGGTTTTACAGTGAGCTACGGGGGGGGGGGCATCGCAGGTCTCGAGGAACACGGGGGGGGGCGGGGAGTTTCGTCTCTGGTCGTCGGAGCGCGTCTGGACGCACTGGCGAATCCCACCGCGCGTGCAAGAGCTTATCCCGAGGCCCGCCGTCCCGCGAGAGCCAGTATATTTGGGCGTCTCGGCTCCGAGGAGGCGATCGCGTCTTCTTGGGCCCTGGCGGAGAACGCCCGCCCCTGGGCCACGCAGGTACTCGAGGACATCCAGCTCGGGCCCAACAGTTCGGGGGAGTTCCTGGAGTTGCCCCCCGGGGGGTACCCGCTCTTAACTTTTCTACGATCGGGTGCCCCCCGACTGAGCGGATATTCATTTCTCGATTCTCAGGACCCAGGTGCTTTCGAAGTCGGTCGCCTCCCCCGAGTTTACGCCCTCTCCGATCGTCGCGCCGTCTGATGAGGAGGTGGACGAGGGCCGATTCCGCCGCAACCAGTTGGGCGTCGACAGAAGGTCACCGGCGAGCGCTCGGTTCCGCGAAGGAGCTGCTGTCGCGCGCGGGGAGGGTGTGTGCCGTGAGGAACGAGGGGAGTTTATT